AGAATAAGGATAAAGATACTTGATTAAAAATTATCTTAATACGGTCTGTATTTGAGAAACAAAAATCTCTCATCAGAGATAAGGAATAAATAATTCAAATAGTAGAATTATAAAAATTAAAATATATAAACATTGCAGGCAATATCTGTTCAGATATGCTTAAATATTCAGAAAGTACCCACCCACCAATTTACTTTGACAAATGAATTTTAATTTATTCTAAATAAGATTTAGAAGAAATGGCAAAGAATAAAATACATAGGTAGTCATCATACTTAGAATATAAATTATAACCTGATGTTGTTTTAAGAGAGTGTGTACGTGTAATATATATATATATATATATATATATATTCAACATTTGAATCTTGAAATAAATCAGATTATTTATTTTTGTTGGATGTCAAATATTTTTTTTTAAAGAAATACTTAATTTTTTGTATATTGATATTAGACATCAAAAAATCGTTTTTTTTTTTGTTTTTTTTTAATAGTTTTATGCTTCCACATAAAAGACACTTGATTTTTTTCATAATATAATTTAACTTCTTTGATTGTTAGCAAAAGCACAAGGATACCAGTTGGTGAGCCTTACGCAAAAGAAAAGAAACAAATAAAAAAACAAAAACAAAAAGAAAACAGTATAACTGTTCACCTGACTGTAGAAATGTAGACATGATATTCTGTGAATCCAGACTTTGTTGTACTTTCATAGGTTAGTTTCTTTTCCACCTGATTTTTTTTTTCTTTCAGTCTGGTAAAGTTAAACAAAGATGAATACATCAGAAGCTCAACATCAATTTAAAATCAGTAATCAGGATCTAGCTTCCTTGCCAAAAAAAAAAAAAAAATCAGGCTGTTCTATCCTGTTGCAGTTGTCCCATGCAATGTCAAGCTTCATCTCAGACAGTTTTATTTGTTAACAGTAATAACAGTTAAAGCTCTCTGAACACAATTATTAACTGGGAATAAACCAGTGACGTCAAACAGCAAAAAATAAATCAACACTTCGTATCAACAATCTTTCTTAATAGATCAGGTCTATATATTTTTTTTGCATGTAATTATATATTTTTCTTTTAATTTTTTTTGTATTTTTCTTATCTTTCTCTCTTTCTCTCATTCCTTCTTCCTTTCTTTCTTGATATGTTGCTTTGTAATCATGACAACATGTCAACCACTCTTTCTTTTACTCTCTCTCTCTCTCTCTTCTATCTCTTGCTTGCTCTTTTTCTGTTTCTTTCATTCTATTCCTTCTGGTCTCAGGTTGGTGGTGATTCATTGACTGCCTTTGATTCCTCTCCACATTTAGTGACCCAGAAGCCCCTTCTTTGCTTCCCATAAACCTTTAATCTTCATTTGAGTATCTGAATAGACATCCAGATATTGCCCAGATTAGGGGTTTATTTAACTGGCAGATACACTGAAACTTAATCAAATTTTTTTTTTGTTTTCTTGGTAGTAAAAATACTGCTACAGCAGTATCACCATCAACCATCATCCCTGATTGTTAAGGATACACAGTGAAAACAATTCTAGCACATCAAATAACTTCAGCGACTTTTTTCTTTTTTTTTGGTTTTTGTTAAAAAAAAAAAAAAAATTCCCACACAAGTCTTACTACCAGAAGGAGATTTTGCTAAAACTGTTTCAAACAATACAATTCGTTTCTTATTTCGATTTTTTTTTTTTTTTTTTTTTTTTTTTTTTTTTGTTTCATTTTTTTTTTTCTCTCAGTGTTGAGGTAACAAAAGCAGGTAACAATTCCATCAACATGAACCCATGGAATCCATGTCACCATAAGTGAAGCAGAGAGTTATCTCCCTTGCAATTTAGCTCAGACATCTTCAGTTAACAATCAGTGATAAAATTAATAAGTCTGCCACTAGTTGCGCTTCCTCGATTCCTTGGTCGGAGCAATATACATCTGCAATGAAACAAGTATGTCAGTAAGGTTAGTAGACGAGCAAGATAAAGTAGCTTAATATATTGTGTGTATATATGGTAAAAGTAACCAAATTGTTTCTCTTTCTCCAGAGATCTTAAGGTGTTAGTTGATAATTAAAAAAAACAAAAAATTAAAAAAAACTGCCTGTCTGATTTGTACATAGCAAATTGAATAAATAAAAACAAAATCATGGACTGATTTAACTGTATTAACAAATAAGATCTTAATATAAGTTGACTTTTTACACTACTTACATTGTTCAGACTTGTCCTCATTTTTGTCATATTAACAATGTTTTGGCTGTTGTAGGCTTCAACCTTCTTCAGGTGATTTATGTTCGAATTTCAAACTGAACCTTTTATTTACTCTATGGGGATAGATTGTTCTAGTTTCACCTACCCCCATGGATGAAAAGGATTTTGTTTGAATTTCCAACCTATATTACTTGAAGAAGGCTGTAGTGTACAACAGCTGAAACCTTGTGAAGACAACAGTTTGAATAGTGTAACTAGTTGTAATATAGACATAAGTTGATTTGTTTGAAATAGGAAAAGAAAACTTTTTTATTAATTACATATAAAGTGTAATCACAAAACTGCAAATAATTATTTAACTCCTAAAGAAAAAAAAGTTTCCAAACAAAGATGAATTGGGTGATAATATCTGAATTATTTCACATTTTGCTGCTTAAAGAAATCTAAAAATGATCACATGGCAAAAATCAGTATTTTTTTTCTAGAGTTTCTACCTTTTTGTTTTTCTTTTTATTCAAATATTTTTATTTACACAGTTTAGATACTCAGTGTGACTTATGTAAATTTCCAAGTTAAACTCAAAAACCTAGGTAACAAGTTATTGAAATAAGGTCTTTGCATAGTAAGATGGATTGATGGATTCTATTATTAAAAATATATAGATTTATTTTGTTTAATTCATTTTTTAAACCATTTAAAAATAGTTTTAAGTATTTAAAAAAAAAAAAAATTCTGTCAGTAATATAGCTCATTGTCACCTGAAGACCATCTGAAATCTATCAGTTATAACAAAAGCACACACAACTAAGAATATTAAGAGTTAAATACATTGCAGAATTTTTTTTTCTCAGTTTAGTTTTATTTTCATATCATCTTCAAGTGATGTATTATTGATTTTCTAACTCTGCCTGTGATTTTAATTCATGAGTAAATAATACAATCATTAAGAAAAGTAAGTTTCAGTAACTGTTTCTAACATTAGTCCCATTGCAATGTTTTTACTATCTTGTGGGTACTATGAAAAACCCAAACTAGGAAGATATATATATATATATATATATATAGTATGGTTTGAAGATTGGGTTCAAGCGTGAAACTGAAGACATCACAGTGGCGACAGTCTGTATTCACTTTTATATTTACATATCATCTATCCCTGATATTGAGTATTTTACCCATAAATATAGCATGTGTGTGTGTATATAAGGTATAATATATTTATAGGATAAAAGTGCTTAATATCCAGGATAGTCCATGTATAAATACAAGAGTGGACACTGATGCTTGAATGCAATCATCAGGCCATGTGGTTTGAATTATAGCTTGACTATATTCGTTAGTCATTAGGGCATTATGGGTAGCAAGATCAGTTATTTCCAGTTTATTGTATTCTAACAGCTATTGAATAAGTGGAAACAGTTATTTTAAATTATTCTGGTTCTATTATTGAATAAAACTTATATATCTTTAAGCACCTCTTTGCTTCAGACAAATGTAAAGATCAGACCTTTCTTTTGTAAAAACAGAACACTTTCAGTGCAATGGTTTCCATTGTGTTAAGTTTCAATATAAAACACTTGTTGCTCTTAATACTAAAAACCATGTAACTTGTCTATAAGCAAAATACTTATTTAAATAATGTGAATGCGGTAGTAATATAATGAATGTAAAAAATTATTTTTATATCGTAATGTTTGATAATAATTATAATACAGAAATAATAAAAATATTACATGGGGTTTGATTAAAACTAATTAATAATTTATTAACTATTCCAGGCTTGTTGCCAGAGTGTTTTTTTTGAGTATGTGTGTGTGAGGAAGGGACAGCTTTTAAATTGAAAGGACTTCAAATAAGAATTTGTACACAGAAATTAGTTCATGCCATTTTTATGGTGGTAGGTGGTGGCAAGTATTTTTTTTTTTTCTTTTGCCAACAGGCCATTAACTATTAATGGGTTGGAAGATTGTAGAGTGCCAATCTTTGAAGTGGTTGGAATTTTTGTTCCAATATTTAGTACTTGAAATATTGACCTTCAGCAGGACTTTAATATACAGACTACTAGCATCAGAAATAAATTTAGTAGTTAGTAAATAACAATAAAAATAGGTTCATCGATCTGAGTAAATTTACAACTGTAATTTTTTATTAAATCTTTATTTAATTATATTTTCTAAAAGGATTATTTTTTGTAAAGTTTGCAGTGGATTAGTATCAGTGTGACATAGATGATTAAATCTTGAATCAGAATTTGATTAACCAAATCCTTATTTCTAAACCTAAGAATTTCCTTAAAATTTCAAACCAGGGCAAAAATCATTGTTTTCTAAATTGATTAAACAAAAGAAAAAAAATCACACACGCAGTTTGTTTTTTCAAAGAAGCCAGTATACATAACCATAAGAAATCCAGTTGTGAATAATCCATTTACCACAAAATAAGACTGAAATTACAGTTATTATTTAACTGTATAGAAATGATACATTCAAGTGTGCGTTATCAACAATAATCTACATAAATACAATACACATGTGCATCAATACCTCAGACGTGTTACTTCTATGCACACCTCTCTAAATACTCTCTTTATTGTAAGCATTCAACCTGAGAACACAAATTTAAATTTTTGCAAAGATTATTCAGAAAAATTCTCTCTTCTTACCATTCATGTTAAAGCTTTTTAAATTTTTTAAAAATTATTATGCTTGATACGAAAATTACTTTTTGAATGAAATAAGGTGACGCACCTTAAAAATCACTCGGAATGAAATTGCAATGTTAGTGTTTGGTGCGGGCTCTCATGCGTTTCCTTGCCGACTTGCATTCCATAAGTATTTATGATTGTAGATAATCTTTGTCCATCTTTGTTTCACCGGTTTTGAAGAACCATTACTCTTTAAAATATAAATAAGTTATTATTTGGAACAGCTCATTTACACAGACAATTTAACACAGGGCTCAGAGAAAATATTCATCACTGCGAATCTAATCTAGTCCTTTTGTGTCCAAAAGTTCAATACTTACTTTGAGAGTGTATCAGAGAGAAGGACATGTCTGAAAGCAGCAAATATGATTTTAATGTGGAACCGTCTAGTTTTTTTCTGTGTATTAAAGGATCTGGTGGTGATAAACTTACTTTCAAGGGGTTAAGAATATCTCAAAACTGATGATACTGTGTTCAAACCTTCATTATTACTACTGAATAAGCATGTTACTATTGATACTAAGAAGCAGAAAAAGTTTTTTTTTTTTTTTTTTTTTTTGCAAAACTACGAAAATTATATAAAAATGATCAAGAGAGTCTGAAACTATAAGCAAAACCATGCAAAAGGAATTATGATTTCAAGGGAATAAGAATTTATATTTTTATACTGAATGACTGGAATGTTGAAGGATGCATGTTTTTGGCAGGAGGGGGACTAAGGCATTTTTTTTTTTTTTTTTTTTTTTTTTTTTTTTTTTGAGGACAAAGATGTTGGCTTGATAATGACAAATACAAATATTTCAATAATGAATAATCATAAAATAAAAAATTGACAAAAAACAAACAAGCAAAAAAGAAAAAGAGAATATATCCAAGTTGAATATTTTCTTGAAATAATAGAAAAATCACCAGAATATACAAAAAATTACATCAATCTTTCAGAAGTGTGTGAGTGTGGGGTGTATCTTATTTAATATTATTATCAATTAACAAATATTGACAACATTTACAAGTATAAATTTTTAGTATTTGTTGTTAATCTTGAATCAAATCAAATATTGGGAAGCAAATTGTGTGGTTTATTTTTGTTTCTTTCTTTTTGTTTTTCTTTTCAATATATGCAATTATAGACTGCACAAAAATTAAAGAAGTTAACCTGAAGTGATCTTGAATCTTTAGGCATGTCTGCTTATATATTTTAGACACTTACTGAAATCAAATCAGAATTTAGAAAAAACAAAAACTGCCATTCTTGTCAGGTAACTATATTTCAATGCATTAATTGATATGCTGTTGAACTGAAACTTGTGTATATGGAGCTGTATCAAATATAAGGTGCTTTTTACACCGTGTTTGAAATATTGTTATTTTTAATGTCTTTCTGAAAATGATTTGTTTGTAAAATTAAAGTCTAACAACTTTTCATTCAGATCTGATTGCACATCAGATCTGAATGAAAAGTTGTAGAAGTTGATTTTTTGGGTTTCCATTTTTACTGTTCTGTTTTTATTTTAATTTTTATTGGTACCAGAAGTGGACATATAACAAATATCAAAATTCCTTTACTCTAAAATCATTAGATGTTCGTAAAAGACAGATTTCATGGAATTGGAAATTCTAATACAGGGGTGCAAAATTAAGTGTACAGTCAATAGTGGTTCTAGAATACTAGAATTCATTTAATTCATTGTATCATTTTTTTAATATTTTTATTTTCATAATTTTTATTATAATACATTTATTATAATTTTTGTTTTTTAATAAATAATGTTTTTCAGGTAAAGGGGATGTGAGACAAGGACAAACAGTTTGAACATTTGAGGGATTGATATATTATTGATGTTTATATAATAAATCCATTTTTCCACACATTTTGTTTTTCATTACTGTATACATACTTAGGCATCCCTCTGTATATGCCAAGATGTTTAACACTAAATATTTGGACTATACTAAATTTGGCATAAGGCCATATTTTTTAAAGCACTTAAGATTGAGCATATACTGTTGGGTATGGTCAAAATATTAGTACTATAGAGTTTTCGAACTCCCCATTTAAAATATAGATATTATGGATTTAGATTTTCTGGTTATATAATAGTCTTGAGTGTATTTCCTGCTTTTCTTTGTTTTATTTTTGTTTTGTTTTGTTTTTTTTATAGGAAAAATAAAAATGAAAAAGGTTTTTGAAAAATTGAATTAAAATATTGATATTGGAAAGTAAATTTGTAAGTTTCAAAAAATAAATTTTAAGTTTTATTTTTATTTTTTTTTTTTTCAGTAAACAAACAAAAATGCTTTTAATCCACTTGAATATTTTGTCTAAGACCACAAACTCTTTGTAGTTTTACTTGATAAAGGTATTAAGGAAAAAAAATATACAACCCCAAACTAATGTTTTATGGAAACACATTACATTATACAGTATAACATTAAGGGCTAATTACCTTTATGCCAACCAACCACTACTTCTGCTTACAGAGAGATGGTTGGTAGGACTTAATGTATATAGATTCCAAAATATTCAAGTGATAATCAATATTAGCCTTACTCAACACTAAGAACATGTCTGAGCTATAACATCAAGCATGCTGCTGGTTTTTAATCAATTGTTCAGTTATTGCTGAACCTAATACATTAACACACTAATGTGAATTGTCCACCTTTCCCTTGCAAATATTGGTTGGTTGATTCATACATCCCACTATTGCAGTGAAATCTGAAGGAAACTATTGTGACATTCTAAGAAAATGTTAATGTAAATTCTCTTTTGTAATTTTCTGAATAAAATCAAAAGAATGAGTAACTATTGGAGAATATTTATTAAGCAGCTCATTGATGTAAGCAAAAGGTTTTAGCTTTGAGTTCCCAGCTATTCTGACTCTGGCACCAGATTGATCTTGCAGGCCATTTCTACTGATTTTGACCATCACCAAGTGTCTCACTGTTACGGGTTTAAATAAATTGAATTTAAATAATGATTATTTTTTTTTCTTTTTAGTAATGCTATGTCTGTTCAAAACACAGATGATGGTATCTTTTCAGATTGTTTTTTTTTATCACCTGTAGACTGCCATGTCTTATTGGAAAAGAGTGGCATGGTTTTCTGTTGCCTTCTGTATAGCTATGAATTCAGTATAATCCTTTGCCTAGACTGGCTGTCACTCAAGGCTAAAAAGATCAGTCTATCCTGCTATTTAATGCATAGCTGGATGGAGAGATGATAGATTCATGCTGTTGAAAAGCTTGCAATTGCACTTTGTGATGATAACTGCTATACATGTAGATTTCAGAAATTTAGGAATATTGAAGAAAAACAAAAAAAAATAGCAAATTATTTTTCATTGCAATTGAATTGAGGTTCCTGCTAAGTTCCATGAATAAATAACATTACACTTCAGTCTTTATTTGTCTGTTTGTTATAATAAATGCTTTCAGTACTATCTGGCACATGGTCTGGTCATCAGTTACTAAACCAATTTCCCCACTAGGCTTTTTTATTTGGCCAGATGCTTAATAGGATTTAAAAAGCAAGACCGACAAAAGAATGAACAGAACTTTTTGTTGGTTCCATGGCCATCTAGCACAATGGGATAGACTGACTCCGTAGCTTTGTATATAGCCAATGTGATGACATGACATCACTGGATAGAGGGCATTCTAGAATTAATTCAACAGTCAGTGGAGGGTTCCTCCCAAAGGATCAATGGCCTATGTTTTTGACTAAGACAAGTTTTCAAATTGGATGACATTGTTTGACCTTGAGAAGAATAGGTTCTCTAAGGTTTACTTGCCCAAGACATGCTGCAGATGAATTAATAGCTCTCTGGTCTTCAACTCACATATGTGGAGAGAACTGGTCAGGTGACCAGCTACATAGTGACCCTATGACCATACCCGATATCAGATAGGAGCAATAGAAAAAAATATGCTATTTTTTATCTGACTGGCCGAACAATATTGACAGATAAAGAAATTATGAGGGATATGTAATGTTAAAATAAATACAGGTTTTTATTGAAATTTTTGTTTAGCCACACAATGTTTCCTTGCTCTTTTGTGAATTGTCATTCAGCTAAAATATTTACAATGAAATATTATGGCTTTTCAAACCCACTGCCTATCACTGTGTTTGTGACACCTTACATGTTCATACGTAATTTATATATCTGTACTGTTTGAGTAACTTACATAGGCTTGTCTCATTTAAATTGCACACACACATACACACGCACACAAATTGACTGCACTTAAAATAAAGCATTGGAATAATACATTCCTCTCCCACTTAGTCTGGATAACCCCTACACTGAACTGAGCAATAAATTATAATTATAAAATTTTATTAAACTTTTCAGAAATTATTTTGTAATAGAACTATTTTTAAAGATTTTTTTAAAAAATTTTATAAAATACATACATCCACCCACAATTTTAATGAAACTGAAGTGGACATATGTGTTTGGGGGGGGGGTAATTTCTTTGTCTAGAAACAACCCTGCATAACAGGAGAGAATTATAAGCTGAAATGTATGGCCCTTTTATAACTCCTTCTGTATTTAAACTGAATATATTTTCTAGTAAATATATTTTAAATGGACAAACAATTTAGACTTTAAATTTGATTATCTTGCTGTCAGTAAAGTGACAAATATTGAACAAGTATTTATAAGGTTTTGCTTGATATTTGACTGAATATTATCTTGATTTTATATATATATATATATATATATATATATATATGTGTGTGTGTGTGTTTTGTTGAATAATATTGACAAGTCCTATCTATTAAATTTTAACTTTTTAAATTTCTAAATTAGCTGTTTTATGTTATCACTAAATTTACCAAAATTCATATTTATTTTTTAAAATAAGTATGAACTTTGGTAAATTTATCAATAACATAAAACAACTAATTTGGAAACTTGAAAAAGTTAATAAAAAATTTGATAGACAGAACATGTTGATTATTATTCAACCAAACACGTTTGAAAGAATTATTGCTACCAAAATATAGTTTTATCTATTTGTGTGTGTGTATATATATATATATATATCTCACAAAATGAGATATTTCATTGTTATGGTAATATGAGGCTTACTCAATGCCACTCAGATTAGGATTATCTGATTACCAAGAAGTGACATCAGGTTGCTAATATACTGCCTTTTTGTTTTGTATTAGCTTTCTTACTTTTACATTCAGAATTGACAAAAGAAAATTCTATTTTTCAAGTAAAAATCAGAATTCTTTCCTTTTATCACTTCTCAATAGAAAGTTGTAGTCAAGAGAGGTATATTTGAATTTTCTTGTCATTAAATAAAATCTTATACTGTAGAATAACATACCACATTATAATTTAGTTACATGTTTAAATCACAATGTATATACATATTTCTATTTTGTCTGTATAATATATTTCTATGTCATAAATTCACTCCATTATTCTTTTAGTAAAGTAGAAATACTAATTATTCAATAGTAAATGATGTTATTTGGTTAGCTTATTCTCAATACTTTCACAATATAAAGAAGAAAATATAATTGAAAAAAAAAAATGAACTATCATAAACTTTTAATTTTCTTTTATGGTATAGGTAAACTTAGTCCTGTTTTCTTTGTCTTTAATGCCTGCATGAATTTTTGACCACTGAAAATCCCTTCCTTTCAATCATCATACAAATAATGCTAAAATTTGCTAAAATCTATTTTTAAGCATTGTTACTTTTGTGACTTTTCTCACATGGCCCCATTCTTGTACCAAAACCAATGAACACCAAATATGGGCTTTATAAATTCTTCTGTGAGGCAGGAGGGGCAAATTTATTTTTATTCCTTTTTATGCATGCCTTTAAATTTTATATTTTGTATTAATATTGAAAAACATTAACTTTTTAAAAAATTTTCTACATCTATTTGCAGGTAAAATATAGTAATAAATTTTTTGCATTTGTTTACTTACCATTTATGCTAAGTAAATACTGTCATTGTAGTGATTTTCCAAGCATAGCTTAGATGTGGTACAAGGCCGAAGGTATGGGGTACCCAGTGTAGATCGAACTCGCTACTCAGGCATAAATGTCCTAGCAAGACAAGCTTACTAACCATTACACTGCCTCGAGGTGGCCAGATACTGTCATTGTATATGTAATTATTAGTGGATGAAGGTTTTGATGTATATTTGTGTAATAAATCCCAGGTTAAGAGTGGATTGATATGTCTGTAGCCTGACGTGATTATTAGATAAATTTTGATCTGAAATATTTAATCTACATGATTAATAGAATAGCATTGGGTTAAGTGCATTGACAAAGGAGATTGTTAAAAAAATTAATTTCTGTTTTGTAAAATAAGTCCTTTCCTTCATTAGGCTATAGACTTTTGATTTACCTATTTATAAATTTGCAATTAATTTACAAAAACAAGATTTAAAAACTTTTACATAATTCTGTTTAGATATTCAATTAGTTTAGCTTAAGTTTAGTCTGGCTCAGGATCACAGTAGAGGAGCATTCACTGAGGATTGAAATTGCTAACCATCCCTGTACAGTTAGTAAATATCTACAAAGTGGTTACTAAGCTTAGTCTAGCACAAGGATCCAATATTGGAGCACTTGATTAAGGCCTTACTAACAATGACTTTCAAGAATCCACACTTTAAATGAAATGTTAATATTTTATTTTGTATGTTTTGCCATAGCTTTTCTGTCAAGTATCATGCTTTTTCTTTATTTTCATGTTGAAGGCTTGTAAGAATAAATAATAATAATAATTTTTCTCTTAAAGTCTTTGCCAGTTTATTTTGAATAATAAAAATTACAGTGATATACAAAAGAACAGTGAAAAGTTCTCATCCTGAATAACTTCCCAAAATCTGACCAAATGTCGGAATTTGGTGAAGAAACTCTCCTAGATCAGTCCGAGAACTTTTCAGCATTCTTCCTTGTTTTTTATTCTAATAATATAGCTCTAAGACTCAATACAGCTATAATAAAAATAAAATTTCAACTTCAGTCTGTTAGTGAATTTAGTAAATGTTATCACAGAAACAGTTATTTTGTAATAACGGCTATTTTTGTAAATTTTATTACTTAACCAAGTTTGTTTAAAATTTAATTTTTAAAGATTATAAATATACATAGTGCTTTTTGGGGATAGTTCCAGAATTGCTATCATTAAGGTTTTTTTCTTTCAGCTGTAGCAAAAAATGTAGATTATAGAAATATGTGAGGGAGAAGAAAAAGTGAAGAGGTGTGTATGTATATATATATATATATATATATATATATATATATATATATATATATATAATATGAAGCTTAATAATGAAAGAAACATATGTATAAATATTCCCCAATTTATTTTATTTATTTGAGAGGGTTTCTTTGTCAGGCCAAGAATTTTTCAGCATCTCTGTAGCTTGATTTTTGAAAAGAAAAATATGCATTTTGAAAATAGTTCAGATTGTATACTTATCCAATTAAGTTGAATTTCACAGAAAAATAATAATTTGAGAAAACTTAATTGTCAGTTACAGACTTGTAGGAATTCAATTTAGTTGGTATTAACTGAATAAGATGTTACTTACTTGAATTTGGGAAAAGTTGGGTTGATTTTTAATAATAAAAATGCAGAAAATAGTATAACTTTTATAATTTAGATATGATAAAAAGATTTTAGAAACATTTTGGTGGTATATAGGCATGTTTTTTGTTTTTCAGTAAAAAATAGAAACGTGGAAATATCTGAGGAAAAAGGAAAAAACATGTGCACAGGGAAGATTCTGGTAATACATTCAATAATAAAACATCATGCCAATTAACATGCAGTACAATATTGATCAGTAGCAGATTTAAAAAAAAAATTAAATAAAAGAAAATGACTAGATAACTTTTGAAAAATGTGATAAAATAAGTAATGCAACATGCAAAAATAAATATGGAAAAACGCACGGGAGGGAAAAAAAATCATCTTTTATTTCGATTCCTCTTTTATACATAAATACTTTGTGGAATGACCAACCAAGCCACAACATAGAAGCTATCATGCAATGATAAAACCAAATGATATTGTCACCCTAGGCCCCACCCCCACCCTGCTGATTGCAATCAGTACTCTTTGTATGAGAAGTTGTGGTCATTGGAGAGAGTGTGAGAGAGAGAGACAAAAAAACAACCTTGAAACAAAGAGGAAGTAAAATAAAACGAGCATGCAAAAGAGGTGATTACACAACAAAAGATAGCAACTATGATAGAAGGGGGGGACTTTCTTTGTATATGATCCCCTTTTCACAGACCTCTCCTTCCCTGGCCATTTCCAACAGTCGTTCGTGCATCACATCAGACTGAGTTCGTTCTCGTTCATTCTCTTTCCAGCAGTTTTTAATCAATGTCTCCCTGTGGACAAAAAATATTGAAGAATGTCGTTATTTATTAATATTTTTTTTTATATAGTGCAACACAGTAAGTTTTCTGATATAATGATGAAATATAATTTTCATCACTGAAAAGAAAGCAGTTTGTTTAATAGAGAAAGAATATAATGCTAAAAACAATGTTTAAATTCATAAATGTCATTATTAGACTGAGTCGTAAGTAACTACAGTTTTTGGCAACCAAATGTAATAACAAATGTACCATCCTAAATAGGTCTGGTGCAAGAGTCTCATGCCCCAAATCCCCTGAATACAATTTACCTAGTTAGAATGAATTATCATGACATATCTTTATTTTAAATAAATCAATGTTTTACAGCAATTTTTAGCATCAATTTGAGATTTTTCTTGTTAAAAATTCAAATTATTTTTAACACATTCAACATTGTATAAAATTCACTATTTTTTTTTCTCTAGTATTTTTTCAATACTTAGCATAAGCAAAACAAATTTATGCATTTGGACAAAAAGAATCCAAAGTTTCTTCAAAATCTGAAAATTTTTCATCCTTTAATAGTCAGTTGTGCTTAGTTTAATTTGTAATGTATATAAATGTAGGTATTAAAAAAAAAAAAATATAAAAAAGCAAATGTTAAGACAAATAGGGTGACAAAGCATTGCCTGGGACTCAGTCAGGCTTGGGCCCCACTCCAGTCAGATTATGTGGGTAGTACATGCTGACCCTAATTACTAATCATACATGGTAGTTAAGAACAAATTTGGATTTTACTAACATACACAGTAGATTAAAGAAAAAGTTGATCCCTTCTATGACAATGCAAGGCCATATGCAACAAATTGAAACTGTTTGTTCTACCTTATCTTTATATTCACCTAAGTTTGCATTAAACAATTGCCTTTCTTAATCACTGCAAAACACTTTGATAGGAAAAACCTTTGCTAATGAAAACCAGATTCAAAAGTTTATCAAAAACATTTTTACTCAAAATATATTGAAGAGCTGTCTGAGTATTTGACGTTGCAAATAATGGTGAATATATAATTGAATACACTTATATTTTTAAGAATAAAGTTGATAAAGAAAGAAATTATTTATGACTCAACCTAATACATGGTCATATTTTATAAATCTTTGTTGTTTGTATTTCCATTGTCTCCAATCTTTTAAAATGTTTATTAAAGCATTCTTTAGTTAGGAATCATTAAGATGATTCCTTATGATAATAAGGATAAAACAAAGAAAGAGTTTTGCTTATAGCTCTGAAATTATTGGCCAAGTTCAAATATTATTTTCCTCTCACAGTGAAATTGGATGTTGAGATACTGATGAGCTAAAGCATGATCATCTAATAAGGTGTTGTTCCTCCATGTGCCTACTGAACAGCTCTTATGCAATCAAGCATGAACTCTACAAGACCTGCAAGGTTTTCCTTTGAGTTCTGATGCCAGGATATTAACTATGTTTATACAGACCTACTGCTAAGTTACATGGTGGAAGTTCTGCAGTGGGGAAAAGCATATTGACCAGTTGAAATATTTCACTAGCTATGAAGGGATGGACCCAGTCTTAACTGATGTTAAGGGAGGTGGTACACCTCCAAGCACAAAGGATTTGTTTCATAGCAGAATGTTGTTCAAAACCATCACACTTTCATTTTCCTTAATGAATCCTGGTGCCATCACTTCTCTGGGGTAGGGATACACATCTACCCTGCTGTTCACCCTTATTCAAGAGAAAGTAAGATTCATCCGCCTAGACGACCATCTTCTATTGACACAAGGTCCATTTCTTGAAGATTCTTATCCTAATATACATGGATTAGCATAGGTACCTTAACTAGACTGCAGATATATACTTACATTGAATATTTAAAGCTACCTGCAATTTATGCCACAGTAACTCTTCTGTTGGCTTGTCTTTGTGCATTATTCATTGGCTGCTCATTTTCTTGTTAGCAATTGGTAATGCCCCTCCCCACTAGAATCACAGCCAATAGGTACTCGGCACAAATGAACACCTAACAAGATGTGCCATTTCAGAAATGCTTTGATTTAGTTTTCTGAAACTTGGTTTTATTAAGTAAGTCAAATCTTTCTTGTTCATAACTGGTGTTTTATACAGGAAAATGAAGAACTTTATATTTTCTTATATACCCTGAATCCTGACTTGTGCAGTTATGATTCTTACCACAATGATTTAGCTCCTCAGTGAATTAACAAAATTGAAATATAAATAGAGCACATAGAAAATAAATAGAACAAAACAAAGTATAACCCACTTCCTTTAATTAAATCATAAAATTAGCTGAACAATCTAAAAAAAAAAAAAAAAATGTATTTTTCTCCAAGGAGAATATATTTAAGAAGTATGAGTAATAAATATCCAAAACTTTTGTTCTTAAGTAAATTCCATAATAAAATAAAAGCTTCTTTTGGTAATCTGTATATTAGATAAGAGAATTTTTATTACAACTACAATTATTCCATCATACCTGTCATTTTAGGTCACTGCTACCAAGAATTTGGAAAATAAATGTTTAGTATAACCACTTTAATAAACCTTGAAATGACAATCTGTATAATTAAAAGCATAAAAATAAAACCTTCATTTTTAGGAATTTGGTTTTCCAAACAAAAAATGCTTACACAAATCGTAAAGGATTTTCAACTTAATCTTATCTAAACAATCAAAACCTAGGGAAAATGTCTATTGTTACAACAGCATTTCTTTGATAAACAAATTGTAGATGTTTGAAAGCTTGTTTTTATCTAAACCATAAAAAGGATATTTTGGAAAAGAAATGTAAACTTTAACATGTCAGTACACATTTGCCCATTAGACACCCTCAGTAGTCAAGAATAACAAGATGTTTCACTTACAATTCTGGGTTGCAGTGAGTTGGAATCTCTAGTCGCTTCTCAGACATAAGAAACTCTAGTAATTCTTGGCGGCCAATTTCTCCATAAGGAACGCCACCAACAGTGATAATCTCCCAAAGTAGTACTCCATAAGCCCAACTAAAAAGGAGAAGAAAAAAAATTATAAAATGATTGCATTTTAAAAATAAAAAGATTAAATAAAAAATGACATTTGAAAATGAAATATCAAATAATAAAGCCAAAAAGATGAGGTGAATTAGTTTAGAAACTTTAATATTGGAAATTAGAATGTTATAAAATTGTTTTTTTTTAAGACATAATAGTTCAAAGGTATGATTATTATTTGGTAAAACTATTTGTGACTTTGTTGTATCAGTCTGTAGGATCTGATGATTAATTTATTTGTTTGAAGCCATCATTGTGTTACTGAATCATTTTTAATCTGACAGCTTTTAGTTTGGTTAAAACAGACTTAGGATATATAAATTAATGAGTTGCTGTAAATAATTCTAAAGATTTTAAAACAAAATTTTACTTACAGATCACTCATAGTACTTGACCAGCCTGTCTTGAGGGTTTCAATAGCTTGCCATTTATATTCATCCTGTGTCAAGAGAAAAAAAAACATTATCATGTATCGTTCAGGTTTTGCATCCTTCTGTAGAATCATGCAACAGAAATGTGATTCTGCAGAAGGATGCTGAGAATAGCATGGACTGAACTTGTGGGCAATGACAAAATTTTAGAGAAAATAGAAACAGAAAGGATACTTATAATTAACATCAGAAAGAGAGTTGAAATTTCTAGTGCTCATAATGAGGAAAGAGGGCTTGGAAAATTTGATACTAACAATAATGCATAACCTACCTAAGGATCTTGAGAAAATGAATGGTGGAACAAGGTTTAAGGGAGATAACAAAAAGACCAAATTTATTAAGAGCTACAAAGGACAGGATATTTGGGGAGAGGCTTGATCACCAACATCCTGAAAGGACACAGCACATAAAAGATTACTTACTTTTACTCAGGATTGATTTATTTTTTTTTTGACTAGAGAACCTCTTAAAAAGCTTTCACTAATTTTGTTGACTTACAAATTTATTTTTTTTTTTTTTTTTTACTTTTAGACGTTAGGGTTAATAGATTAGGTAACATATTTGATTTGTTGGCGATATTAACATTTTATTTGAAAACTTTAGTAAATAAATCAGAACATCATTCTTGTAAGTAATATACTTGATTAGAAAAATATTTAAAAGTATGCTTTATTATCTACTAGTTCTTTAGATGCTAATATTTTGGAGACAGACATGCAGAAGCAGTGACTAAATGTACAGTGAATTAAACTTATTAAATTTTTTAAAGTGTCAAAATGAGACAAATTTTGGAATTTGATTAAATCTAGAATGAAAAAATAGCATTAGGATGCTAAATGATTAAGAAGACTAATTTATTAGTTTTATTGCAAGGAAAAGTGACATAATACAAAAATGTTTGATTTTATTTTTAAAATATACTGCTGCTATCTCATTATAGTTTTTATATTTGCATGCACGTTGTGTGTCATAGGTAGTAATTGTTTTATAAAACTTCAATCAAAATTATATTAATTTTTTTTTAAATAGTCAATTATATTTACTGTTGATATTTTAAATTTATTTTATCTTCAATTTTGATGCCAATTACAGTCTGAAATTTATAAAAGAAAAAAAAGATTTCAAAAGACTTATACATTATACATCAGGGTAAGAAAGCTATTGAACTCATTAATAGATACATTTAATGTAAGTATGATACAAAAATAAAAATCTGTTCTATGTATACTAAAAAAACATTTTTAGTATAGAATAAGTTTGAAAGTTGTTCAGAGTCAATGATTACATTTTTTTTAATGTAATTTATTTAAATTAAATATAGGTATGGAATTACTGGAAGAGTTTTTCAATTATAAAGTCCTTCCTAATGTGTAGTTGTTATATTTGCATGCACGTTGTTTGTCATAGGTAGTAATTGTTTTATAAAACTTCAATCAAAATTATATTAATGATTAAGTAATAGAAAAATTCATTTAATTTGATATATTAATAAAAAAACTTCTAATGAACATTACCTAGTTATTTTCATGATTCTTTAGATAACGAAACACAAGACAAATGTTGTGTAAATTCCCTATTTTAATCTGTCCCCAAGCATATTAACTATTTTTTAAATTAATTTTTAATACATAAACTGAATGAAATATAATTTATCAAATTAGACTTTTCTGTTTTGTATCTTAAAATCCAGAAATTCAATCAATTTGAATCCTCATTTCTTATTAGTTTTTCAGTAAAAAATATCCCATTCCACCTTAAGAGATTCTATATTATCTTATATACATAAAAAATATATGGATGTGTATTATATATGAAATTTTCAAAATATATATATATATATATATATATATATATATATAAACAACAAATAAAACAAATCCCATTTGTAAACTTGTCTATTTGTTACCTCTGTTTTTTGGTCATATTGATAACAAACCGGATAAAAAAAGGGGTTAAATGTACCCACCAAAAAGCAGTGTCAAAAGGTGGGTTTTCTCTTGACACTGCTATTGCTGTATACTCCCTCAGCATTATTTATTGTTTTTAAAAGCTATTTCAGAATTTTAATAAAATCCAAATATACGAGATTGGATTTATACAATATTTTTCTCTAGAATTGACGGCAAAAATTATTTATAGTGATAGCAACAAATAAATCAATAAATAACCTCTAACCCTTAGTACTAGACTATGTAAGAGTATGAAACCAAAATAATAATTAATAAAAAAAAAAATTCAAAGTAATTACTTAAAAATACAGATCTGAATGATAATTAACACTAAATAAAGAAAATGTGAACTTATATGAAAACTCCCATTATTCACTGGAACAAGCATTTTTCTGCCCATTGAGTCAGCTAAACAAAGTAGACAGACCATGTGACTCCCATCAGATAAGCAAAAACAATTTAATCTCTGTATATGTACTTTGAAATATACAAACAACATTTCTCTGTTGTGTGTGTGTGTGTATATATATGTATATATATATAATGTGGGGGCTAATGATGTCTTTTAACCCCCCACTCCAAACAAAATTTTATATATATTTATTTTATTTATTCCTATTCAAACATTGAGACGTGTCTATTTTGTTTTTGACCCTTTCAAGTCCATGGATTATTTTCTTGGTAGCTGTGGAAAATTGATTAAAAAAAATATGCCAAAATTTTGATTGAAAGTACTTGGGGAAAATAAAAATTATTTGAAAGAAAACTTTAGTATTTTTTTTTAATCAATTTTCCACAGCTACCAAGAAAATAATCCATGGATTGAAAAGATCAAAACCAAATTAAATAGACATAAATATCTCCAAATGTAAATGAACGAAGAGTAAGATTTCAGCATTCAAAACATTAATTTAAAACAGGGTTCAATACAAACGTAGAGCAATAAATATTTATTATGCAGTGTTACATTTAGACACAATAAATAAATGATCATACAATCTAAATTTAAAGTCTAGCCAATTTACACTGCTGATGTATATCTGAAAATTTGTCGTCTGGCTTGCATTTATTAACCTTATGTATACATGAAAAGGGAAAATGAGAGAGAGGAAGAAAAGGCCCAAGGAAAAAGAAATGCACAAACTAAAACACGGGAATTTATAAGAGAAATGATGTGTAATCAAGAACAATTTGAAAAAGCATGTAATTTTTCCCTACAGATTACAAATTTAACATAAACATATAAAAATATTTAATCTACTAAAAACCCTACTATTTATTACCACATACACATATAAACACACACACACATATATATATATATATATATATATATATATATATATATATATATATATATATAACCATACACACACTCATATAAAACATACCTACACACTCATACATTTATACATATAAAAAAATGGATGGGTAAAATTTAGCTAATCTGTACTTAAAAACAAATTAGAAATAAGGAAGTGTGTGTGTGTGTATATATATATATATATATATATATATATATATATATATACATTCAAATAAGGCCAACATATCAAGTACAACCCACAACATATTAAACACTATTAGATTGCTTATTTACAAGAGTAATTTTGTATTTACAAAATCATAAAAATGTCTGAACTATAAAACAAAATTTAAATAAACACATAACAATGAGTAACCGTAATTATAAATTAAAAAAAAAAATATATATTTTCCAGACATTTCTTTTAATTTGTTCTTTCCATATAATTTCACTAAAATTCAACTTGTTAATGAATTTATGTGGCAAAGACAAATTTTAGATTTATACATAGATTTTTGTTTACAGTTACACTTTCTAGTTATTTTGGGTTGACTCGAAAATTTTCAGTTCCCTCTAATACAATATGTATTATATAATTAGTTTTTCTGTACTAAACATGCAATAAACTATACATACCTTAACGACGGCTGGTTTCGTTAAGCCAAATCCTCCAATTTTCGCCCGCAGTATTTCATCCAGGTAAATATTTTGTGCACAGAGATTACCATGGATTGTCTGGAAGAGAAGTAACAAATTTATGGATTTAAAATTTCTTTAATATTGAAAATCTAACATTTAAATATTTAAGAGAAGATAATCTCTTGTTAATTATATATTTCTAGTTTAATTTTTAAGTTTTCTCATATTTAAATAACTTTCAGATAGCTGAATTTTAATTTTTAACTTTTTATGTTTAGCTTAAGGGATTAATATTTTCCTCTAAATTATGTTGAAAAATAAATATTTATGTAAAATAAATGCTTTTATCATTATTAGGCTATAATCAATATATCTATGTAAACTATTAAAATTACTATATTTTTAAAGACTGCAAAATAATCGTTTATTTAGCAACAATTACTCATGAATGACTTTTGGGTATTAAGACTTCAAGTACACAAATCTCAGAAGAGATTATACAATATTTTAATCTCCTTAGAAAGTCTGCTTGCATTGAAAATAAAAATTTATTGTTGATTTACTAATGGGAATGATTGCAAAAGTCCCCCCACTCTCATAGTCAGAAGAACACAGAATGCATGCTGAGATATTTTTCTTAGCCAATAAAATGGAACGGTTTGTGTTTTGACATGACTCTGTCCAGATCTGCCTTAACTACTAGACAAACATAATGTGTTCGCTTGTTTGACCTTGCTTTTGTGTGCAAACACTAACTTGTGAATTCTTTTGCCTTCTTACCAATTTTGATTTGCTTTAAGCATGTTGTTTGCTCACTTGCATGATTGTTTCTGTTTTATCTTTTTGACCTTTTTTCTTTTCATTGCAAACTTTATTAATTCTGATATCTTTGCACTTTGACAATGGCTTCTAACTCATCATTTCTAATTTATTACTTTGATTCTAATATTTGCTCCCATTTCAGATGAAAGTTATACTAATTAACCTATAGCTGGGGGGAGAAGTATGATCACCAAAGTTAAGCAATGTCAAGCCTGGTCAGGACCTAGATGGGTCACTGCTTGGGAATACCAGGTGCTGTAAGCTTGGGTGTGCAGGTGGTGTAGTGGATAATGGCTTGGAATTGTTAATTGGAGAGTAGAGTTCCAGTTGGGTTCATTCTATTCACTTACATGCTGATACCCTTGGAAATGATATGAATGAGCCTCTTTTCCTACCAGCTATGGGTTAATTCTTTTGTGTGCTGTGTCTCTTTGTTTTAGCCATGTGTTAATCAGTAAAAATTTTTTTATCACTAAAGCCATTATTATCTCAAAAAAAATAATTGAATAAATAAATAAATAAAATTGTTTACAAAATATTTAGATTTTGACATTGAATAACCTATAGAGGTTGATATGTTGCCAAAGAACTAACCAACTATTAATTTATTTTTTTGTAATTAGAGCTATGGACTTAATATATAGATAAATCATAAATTTTGAAGTAAGGAAGAATGCAAAGAAAAGATGGCTTTAAAATGTTATCGTTACATAATATATAAAAAGGGGAATCTCTTGAGTGTAGTTGGTTGAGGCATTTGAAGCAGATCTGTTTAAACTAGAACATGTATTATTTCAAGAAGGGCTTACAGGAAATGAAGAAATATATTTAAAAAAATTCCATTGAATCTACAGCTGGGAATATAAAAATTGAAAAGTCAGATTTTATATCTGAAATTATCAAAACATCATTTATATCTACTCATCTTGAAAATCGGTACTGAACATTTTTTTCTGACTGGATTTTAACCCTGAACACAGACAACTATCAAGTATTGATATTTAACCTTTATCACTATGTATGTGACTTCATTTGTTGTACAAGATGTTTATTCTGCCACTGAAGGTGACTGATCCCAGTACAATAGTGTGTTTGAATTTCATAGTTGTGTTGTCATATCCTGCTATGGTAACATTAACAAAGATACTGCAATTGAGAGGCCTTGAAGAAGAATTGCAGTAGAAAGGGAAGTAATATTAATAATGCAGAGTTATAAAGTTTAATAAGCTTAGCTTTGTATGGTAAAAATCAGATGGGGTACAAAGGCTTTTCTGTTCATTTTCTAAGTGAAGAAAGCCTACCAGCTTTGAAAATCAGCATTTGAGATACTAGCATTTTACCTGAGATTTACCACCTGGGGTTGGTGATCAGGCCATATTTAGATAAGCTTCATTCTTTAGTTCAGATCTTTACAGCTAGGATGCTCCATTCTACTTTTATGGAGTTGAATCAAATTTGGACAATGGAAGAAATGAGCATAACAAGATTTCACTCAATTTTTCTCTTAGAAGTGCCACTTTGTAGAACAGACTCCTGTATGGGTGCTTCCCTGAACACTATGATCTTAACCTCTTCAAGTCAGTGATCAGTTGTTATTTATTCTCATAATTTTCACTTCATACCATTTTCTCTTCTATTCATATCACATACCTCATTCATCATAACCATTTTGAATGTAACCCTCTAACTTGAGTAGCTCTCAAGTCTTGTATTAAGTGAAAGTTATATACATCGCCTTTTTTTCTCTTGTATATTTTGTCAAAATTATAAGTTACACCAATATATAATTCTTTTATTTGGTAATAGCCATGGAAAATAACTTCTACATGGGGAGGGGTGCCGAAAATCCACCAGCCTAACCAAGAAAGGATTTTCCCTCAAATTCTGAGGTTTCATCACTTGGTCAGTCAAGCCAATAACTTTTCAGCACAGATGACGTCCACTTGTCATCTCTCAGTTGATACTTACCTGGCACAGAGCTTGTCCCTGGGCTGGTGGTATCATGGCTAGAATTAGCTTGGACCGGCTCTGACCTGAACCAGCTATGACTAGCTTAGACCAGCTTGAACCAGCGGCCCGAGTGAAAACATTTGGGTTCCCACGTTAAAAACCGACTTTGTATCACAACCTGACTCAGTGGGGGGTCAAGTAAATACACTTTTCAGCACAGATACCCCCACTCCAGGTATATAATATATATGAAGTCAAATGACCAAAGCTGAATAAAGTGTGAAACCATTAGTATTAAGTGGCAAAACGTTTGTTACCTGATGGTTGGACAGATACAGCAATCCGCAAGCGACTTCAGCAGCAATATACAGCAGCTTCACTTGGAAGAAAACCAGCACATTTGGTTCTTTGTCTGAACCCTTTCGCATCTTCAACAAATAGGAACGCAAGTCTCCACTTTCAGCATAGTCCAATGCAATATAATGGCGATCTGTAAAATAAAAAAGATGTACTTATTTTTACAGTGGAGGAGGAGGTTACAATATTTATTTGACTTAACTTACTATTACTCAATTTTACAATGGGTAGAAAGAACGTGTAGGACTTGCCTCCTATAAAAGCAGCATTTTCTGGCACAGGAGATTGTTTTTGGCTGAAAGTAGAATAAACTTTTCTTGTCATTTTAAATGAGAGAAGGCATCTGGTCATGTGGATTTCAACCCTGCGGCAGCACCTTCCTCATTGCACTAAGAGAGGTGAGACTGATGTGACAGTTGTTGCAGGGACTGGGCAATTTTTGTTCTTAGTCCATAAGAATATGTATGTGGCTCCCCATATAAAATGACCTTGTGTCATATCCTGCCTTAGTGGGGAGGCTGGGTAAATGTACCTGAGATTGAACATGGAACACTGCTGCTGCTGGTGAGAAAACTGTTATGTAACTTAACCATAAAGTTATGAAGTTAATCCTAATTTCTGATATTTCTATATTTTCATATCTAGTTAACTAAAAAAAAAATCTTTTACTTGTAGGGACATTATTATTATAAATAAATAGAAATAAAATAATAATGATGAATATTATAAATAAAATAAAACTAACATGAAAACATTGTATAAAATAAATAAAAATAATACATTCTCCCAGCATGCAACAAAAACTTCCTGCTGGAAATATGGGCATCCTGCCAAAAGATGTTAAATTCAATCTTTTCATTAACAACTTTGGGACAGTCAACACACGTCCAACTTCTCTCTCTGTGACATAGTGTGTAATAATACACAGTAACTTCTTCCTTTCATTATATGCACCATGAAACATTTGTAACCAAAAATACACACACCTATACACACAAAAAATAAATTGTATGATATAAATTGTACAATTTACCATGCTTTCACTGTTATCCATTTGTCTGTTTTATTTCTGTGATGTATGTTTTTTTTTTTTTTTTATTTCATTTGAACACAAGGCTATTTCTGCTGCTATGATGTGAGTGACTCTCCCAAATCAATTGGTAACTCCAATGTGTATCAAAAAATTATTTCCCCACATCATTAGGTAGCCCTGACATGTATATGAAAGCCTTCCTATTCACCCACATCATTTTGTTAATTCCAGACATGTTTAAAAACCATCAACGTCATTCATTTGATGACCACCAACGTGCATAAGAAAAAAAAAACCTATTCACTCACATACTAAAGACTAAAGATCATACGAAATTTCCCCAAAAATAAAGGCAAAAATATTGATGCTAATCAGAAAAAAATCTTGGCGTTCTATAAATCTGGAAAATAAGTTAAAGAAACTTTAGTGCAATTATGTGTTTGTTTAAAATTTTTTAAGTTATCAAGTCACGATATACAGATATCAGACTGTAAAATTGACTAATGAAAATGCATCAGAAGATGATTCAATTAGCTATTAGTTTTTCTGTTTATTTGATATTTGTCAGGCTAAAAATACAAAGAAAAAATCACATTCTATGTATAGCTGGCCACTTGTATTCGATGAGGATACCCATCTACTAGCCAATCCCTACTGAAAACGCTTGCTCTGGCACATTTATGTTTATTCAACACCCACAGACCCCACCTGTGGTTTATACTGCAGCTATGTTAAGCAAACTGAAAAAGGCCAGCACGCTCAAGCCCTTGGCCACGATGACTTGTGACTTCATGCTAGCACAGCTATTGACGGCCACCAAGGGTCCCATCTACCCAATTTCACTCACAAGGTTTGGGTCAACCTGTGGTATGGTTTTCAGGCACTTTCCAATGGTGCCGCATGCTGGGATTGACTCCTCCAGTCCAATAACATCAGGAAGTCTCCTTGCTGAGAAATTGAGATTCGAACCCATGTTTTATGGTCAGAATGCGAATGTTCTAACCACTCGGCCATTAATTACTATGATAATGTTTTAAACACTGGCTCTTTTTTCTCTCTCAAGCATTTCTGAACCTGATAAACAATTACTATATAATTATCATGTATGACTTTTTAGTCATAACAATTTTAGTTGGTCATATCAGACTGTTTAGTTCTTTTGACATTCTGATGGTACTACCTTATTTTATGATGGTAGTTACCTGAACAACATCTATATGAATTAATATTGTCTGAATTTTAGTGAGGCAGTTAATTTAATGTTAGCATACATAATATAAGATTTTTATTTGTGTGTGTTGTTTTTGTTTTTTTTATATATGATGGTTGTTGACTCATCAGGTGAGTATGACAACTGCTAACAAGTTAAATCTATAGTTACAGTTTTGAATTCAGTCATCCTTCTCCTAAACTGATTGACAACCACATATCCAAAATCCCAACCTGCCTTGCTATTTAACCTATATTTGGGGGAAAAGAAGAAATGAACTCATACCTTTTCCAAGGGTATTTGCACATAAGTGAATGTAATGAACTTGACTGAAATTTGAACTCTGCTCTCTGATTTCTCATTCCAAGCAGCACCATTACACCAGCTGCACATCCATAAATGTTAAAATGCCTGTACTGAGATTATAATCATGTATGACTTGCACAACATTGCAATGATTCACACCAACAATGCTTAGAATCCTAAAGACAAGCAGATGCAAGATATCTAGATTAGCACTGAGACAATTGCTATATCAGTATATTCTTCTCATAGACAGGTACCTTATCAAAGGCTTCTGGGCCCTCATTCCCAGTGGGTTAATGCAGGTATTTCTATATTCCTGCATACATATAATAATAAAATATACATCCTGCAAAAATACAATTATTTTTGTCTGGGTTCTGACTACTCAGGAATCACAAAACTGAGTTGATCATTGATAAATATTGTGAATTTTAATTACTTTTGATACAATAATTATTGCTTCAGATTAGCACTTTACTGGTAGAAATTCTATGTACCTTGATATACGTTGAAATATATAATTTTACATAGATCAGTAGGTGGCATTACTATTTTATATATATATATATATATATATATATATACCCCTGATGAGTGAACGGAGTGATTTCTTTAGGGTCTGTCTACAAAACTCTAGAGTAGGGATACTGAAAGTAACATCAATCAACTAAGTGACAAATTATATACATAAATAAATAAAACTAAAATGATGACTCTCTCCATTTATTAATTTCTCCAAATCTTTCAGAATCATCTTCAATTTCAAAAGTCTGCTTAACAATTTGTCTCTTTATGTTAGGTGTCTTATCATTGGCCTTTTAATCTGTTGATTTTTCAATATTCTACACACATTCTGATTGGTTTCTTTGAATTTTTGTTGTTGAGTAATTCTTATGACTTCTAAAGATTTAGCACACTTGAAATGTTCCTTGTGTGTCACATGATCAACTTGTAATCCAACTGGATGTGACAATTAATGAATTCTGCTAAATACCATGGTTCTTTGATGAGGTGTGCACCTTTGTTTGTCTCGCACACACATATATATATATATATATATATATATATATATATATATATATTAGAATAATATAAATAAAACCAAAAGTACTCTAGTTCCACTCTCAAATTGAAGGATCATCAATCCAGGTTCAATCTTTGTCTTACTTAGTACTGGTTTTAAATATGGTGAGCTCTTTTCTTTTTTTTTTTTTTACCTGGAAGTGAATATCATTCAGGTTTCATACTAATTACTTTTTGTGTGTAAACATATATATATATATATATATATATATATATATATATATATATATATATATATATATATTGCTATTCCTTTAATATTTCTCATTGGGATACTAAGAAACTTGCCAGTGAATATGAGAGGATCCTATTGAAAATAAGTAGACAAAACTTGTATAAATTATTCAGTGAGATATGCTGTATATATATATATATATATATATATATATATATATATATAAATATACATGTTAAATATACATAAATATATAAATATATAATACATGTATATTTTTGAATAAAAATTCCAAGAGGATAGAATCTCGGTAGAACTCAATGTCCAGGACAGAGTAAGGATATATAAAAAAAGGCTTAAACACTAATATTCCATGGTCATTGGAATTGTAAATATGTGATATATATATATATATATATATATATATATATATATATGTGTATACGCCTATGTGTATGTATATACGTGTATATGTTATTGTGTATGTGTGTATTCGCATGTGTGTTTGAACATAGAAATATAGGTCCTTGCTAGATTAGATAATTGTTATATTTATTTTTTATATGTTTATATTTGATTTGTAACCTGTAGTCGATATTAAATTTGTCAAATTTTCTCAATTACACAGCGGCCCTTTCAGTAAATGTCATTCAAGTTTACTTTCCTTCGCCCCATCTCTCTCTCCCACCTCGTCTTTCCCTCCCTCTTGTTCTGATCTTCAACATTAGATCGTCTATGGTGTGTATGTCACCACAAAATGTATCTTTATGCATTAGACATCCGACAACATTCATATTTCTCTTACTTAAGCCCCTTCCACTCACCTCTCCTAAAATTCTCTCTGTTAAAGTTTAATCTCCCTCCTTCTCTAGTCTGTTACCCCTCATACTCACACCCTCTCTAAATTCTGTTTTTATTTCCGGAGTTGTTTTTTCTGTTTTCTTTTTGAATTTGTAGGTCTGATGAATTGGATCGTATTTACGATTCCAATGGAATAAATTATGACCATGGAATATTAGTGTTTAAGCCTTTTTATTATATATATATATATATATATATATATATATATATATATATAAAGCTCTTGCATTTGAAATTTGTTGATTATATCCTTTCACTGAACAAAAGTTATTCTTTATTATGAATCAAGACTATCAAGTCATCTCTTATCTAGGATTCAAACAATGAGTGACTTTGAAGAAATATACTTGCTACATGAAGCACAAAAAGGTTTCTTTGGCTAATAACTTACTATTTATTAACTGCATGCATTGTTTAAATTTACTTTTGCCTTAATTTTATTTACATCTAGAAACACATGAAACTGCTTAAAGATTTTTTTTAAAAATAACAACAAAGATTATCAACTTCCAACAAAACACATTGGCCAGTAAATTACTGGAGTTTAATGCATTTAAAGGTGAGCATAGTTTTGCAAATAAAGTACTCGGTATTATAAAATAGTGCAAAAATACATAATAGGTAAATAAAAGTTCAAGAGACTTTATCACTTCAAGTTTTGCAGATATACTGCTTGTCAGGGTCAATTAAATCTATTGGATGTATTAACAGAATATATATATATATATATATATATATTTATTTATTTTTTTTTTTACAGTGTTTTTTTTCCCTTCACCCCCTGTACAAAGCCCGGGGGGGGGGCACTGGAAATAGAGGGTTACAGAGTAAGAGGTACAGTTTATCTGGATATGTAGGGAAGATAACAGTTAACCCTAGACTTGAACAGGTTAAGATTGTGGTAATCAGGATAACATCTTCCTGGGAGTCAGTAGCACAGTGCAGTGGCCTGAGGGAAGAAGCTGCTCAAGTGGAACTTAACATATCCCCAATAGAATACAAAGGGAATGGGAGTGTTTTGTTACAATGTGTGTAGCATGGCAGGTCTTAGTTATGAAGGTAAGAACCAGTGGAACTAAAGAGTGTAGTTTGTCTGAACATTTTCCATGGAAATAGTGATAGTTGCAGTAAGAAGCTTGTGATTTTTTGTCTATGAGAAAGAGGTTGTAGGGTGGAAAATAATTTGTCACAACAAGGACACAGAGATGCTTTGGGTCTTACTGAAACTGGAAAGTGAAGACTGGTCAGCTCTTGCCCATATATAGATGGAAGCAGTACTCAATTTTAGGCCTGATCTGGCTCTTGAAAATCAACTTGAGGTTTGGGTTGAATTTAAGGCCCAAGAGGTGCTCAAGACACAGGGCTTACCTGAGGGAACATCTGTTCATTGTGATTGATCAAACCCTGAACTATGATGATGGAATGTAACTAGTTTGGTTTTTGAGATATTGAATGTGACCATCCAGATTTTTTTCTCTCGCTAATTCATTAGAGCTGGTCATCTAGGATTTTGGGGGGTGCATCCATATACTGTTGTATCATCAGCATAGATATTCACAAATGATCAGAGTATACTCTTAGGCAGATCATTTATGTAAAGTAAAAAGAGGGTTGGTCCAAGAAGTGACCCCTGGGGGATGGCTGCATTGATTACTAGGGCTCCAGATGACTGGCTGTCAACAACTAGGTGGAATGGAATTTTTTTTTAATTGAAAAACTAACTAGAAATGAGGATTCAAAGATACAAAACAGAAGTCATATTTGATAAAATATATTTCATTCAGTTTATGTATTAAAAATTAATTTAAAAAATAGTTAATATGCTTGGGGACAGATTAAAATAGGGAATTTACACAACATTTGTCTTGTGTTTCGTTATCTAAAGAATCATGAAAATAACTAGGTAATGTTCATTAGAAGTTTTTTATTAATATATCAAATTAAATGAATTTTTCTATTACTTAATCATTAATATAATTTTGATTGAAGTTTTATAAAACAATTACTACCTATGACAAACAATGTGCATGCAAATATAACAACTACACATTAGGAAGGACTTTATAATTGAAAAACTCTTCCAGTAATTCCATACCTATATTTAATTTAAATAAATTACATAAAAAAAATGTAATCATTGACTCTGAACAACTTTCAAACTTATTCTATACTAAAAATGTTTTTTTTAGTATACATAGAACAGATTTTTATTTTTGTATCATACTTACATTAAATGTATCTATTAATGAGTTCAATAGCTTTCTTACCCTGATGTATAATGTATAAGTCTTTTGAAATCTTTTTTTTCTTTTATAAATTTCAGACTGTAATTGGCATCAAAATTGAAGATAAAATAAATTTAAAATATCAACAGTAAATATAATTGACTATTTTTCTTTTCATCACATTTTCTTTGGACATATTTTTCATTTCCCATTAAGCAAAGTTGTAAGATTCTTAATTTTCTTTGTTTCTAATTTATTATCTATAATAAAGTTGACATTTATTTTAAATGTCACATTAAGTACACAATAGACTTGAAATTTTTTTTCATCAAATGAAATAAAAACTGACTTTTAAAGTGAAACAGGATTTTTACAAAAATGAATATATTATTAAAATGAGATATTTTAAAGAATCAGAAGCATTTTCTTTGTGTTCATATAGAGACGAGAAAATTTTTTGAAGATTTTTTTTTTTAGCAGTTTCTTCTGAATAAGTTAATATACATTTTAAGTATATTTATTTTTTTTTTTTATACCGGGAATAAAAAAAAAAAAAAATTAACTGGTCTTTGTTTTAAAAATTGCTTATTGGTTTTAATTTTAATCTTTGACATTTAAGGAAAATGCTCACAAAGATTAAATATATTTGAATATTTTTTTCTTGAATAAATTGGTTTAGTAAAAAAAAAAAATGATTACAAAAAATGAAATAATCAGTAAAGCCATTATTTTTTTATAAAGTATATTTTAATAGCATTTTCAATGAATTGTTGATGCATCATAAAATAGTTTTGGTTAAAATTTAAATTATTATAATACATGAAATATATAATGTGTGTCCATATATGCACATACAAAATTCTGTAATTATAAATTGATGTAAAATTAATCAAATATTCTGTAAGATTTTTTATATTTTCTCTTTGAATACAAATATTAATTTTGCTTCCATCTCCCTAGCAGTCAACTGTTACATGGAATGGAAGGCTTTATTGACAAATCACTTGAGATGTCATAAAATATGTCAGACATTTTTAAATTGTTAACATAATTCTTGAAAATTGAATGAATTGATGATTTACTAATATTCAATTACTCTAACTTTGAAATAGAAGTGACCAAGTGGTTTTGTCAGCTTCTTTACAGATCAACACAAGCATCTAAACTTGAAGATAACTGGTTTTGCACTTAATCTTGGATCTTTCTCCAAACATTGGAATTTGGTTTATGGGTGACATCAGTTATTAATTATTGGCATATAGAATCTACAGAGTCTATTTGGTGAAGTTGTTTATATTCACTTTATACTAATACCCTTGGGAAAGGTATGAACTCTACTTCCTATTGAGCTATGTCCTGTCATATTTAAACAAACATCCTCATCAATGGTATTCCATGATTATTGATGAAGTATGAATGAATGAGAACTTAGGCTAAACACTTCCCCATTCATGCCTTACTTGCCCAGGCAGTAGCAGTAAAAATAATTTTAGCCCTATCAAGGTTAAAGTGCACACACATTTATTGATAAAAACAATTATTTGACAGAACTTACCTTCTGTGATAGCATCTGTAATGAAACTGAGGATATTAGGATGTTGTCCAAGTGCTTCAGCCATAGCTTTAGCTTCTTTCAAATCTCCCCTTTCATCATCTGATAGTCCATCTAAGAATTAATGATGAAGAGATGTTTAGAAAGAGGTAATAAAAACAATGTTTATTTTTTTACATCCATTACATAGGTACCTCCACAAGATCACTAAAAAAAAAGCCTAGCATGATGAAAAAGATGCCAAACTTGACGAAAACATTTTATCGTCTAAATGTTTGTAAAAATAATTGTCGGATGTTAATGAAACTTTCAGAAACTATTTACAGATGATCGAAATTATTATAAATGTTTTCTTTTATTAAAGTTATGGCAGAAATATTTTTTTTATATATTAATTACCATCCCACAACTAATTTTATGAAAACTCTAGAAATTCAATTGAGTCCACTTTAGTAATTACAATAGTTAAAAACACAAGGAATTGTGTTTATAATCGGGCTCTAATTACAAAGTACGGAAGACCAACTAGAATACAATTAAGTTGCGTTATTTGAGTTAAGCATTGTTCTCTGCTGTTAAGGTCTTTATTTTTATGAAACCTGTGTGGAGAAGTTTTTTATTTTTCAATTTCAACTGAGAAGGGTACCTAAAAGTATCAGTATCATCTTATGAAATTTATATGATCTTATTTTTATATTAATCTCAGTTATGGTATTTTTTCCATAAATGAAATATCAAAATTAATAATAAAATGAATGGAAATACAAATAACACAGTAAAATGTAATAAATGTACATAAAATTATAGTATTTTATGTACACTTCTGATAAAATTTCATAAGAAAGGTATCTATAAATTAATTAGATGCCTTTCTTATGAAATTTAATCTCACTCTTAAGTCTTATTTTAATTTCTTTATAATATATTTTCTATAAAGCATTGTAAATATAAAGGTGAAAGCTAAGTACAAAAAAAAAAAATTAGAGTGCTGAAAGATTTCCTTAAAAATGAGGTAAATAATTTGTTCACTTAAATGTAAATAATTTCACTTTTTTTCCCTTCTGTAGAACAAATATCTGTCAATATGTCATTCATCACCTGTCGAGTGACGTGAAAGTTTATGACGGCTTTGTTTTATTTTCAAATTACGTCTTTTCAGTGCAGAAGCTAAGTTAAGCTTGGTTCAAAATATTTTAAATAAACATAATTTCTGATTTTCTTAAAATAAGTTTTGAAAAAATGATAATTGATATTTAAAAGAATTTCAAAGTGAGATTTTCATTTTTTTTTTATAAAAAAATGGTTGCTGACTTAAAAAAAACAAGATTTTTAACAAAAATTTCGGACGTGCTAGGAACAATAAAAAATGTAAAAAATACCTCCAAAATACTTTGATCTTTTCTCTTAATAATAACATTAGCATTTAGACGATAAAATTTTGTTTTAGTCAAGTTTAGTGTCTTTTTCATCATGTTATTCTCTTTTTTTTAGTGATCTCGTGGAGGTACCTATCCATTACATATTAACATTTGTCTTTGTTCTGCATGTTATATACAGTAGCAGCCATAATATAAGGAACGGAAACAACAAAGACATAAATATGTGTATTACTTAAAAAGTAATGCATGATTAGCAATGAAATTTCTACCAAATAAAGGTTAGGGTGTAATGCATAAATATTATATAAAGTTACAAAAATTTACATAATAGTTTTTTTTTTTTTTGTTTTTTTTAAATAAAGATTAAATGGAAGAAAGGAAATAATCTACTGGACAAAAGTTAAGGAACTATGTTAATAATTTGCATAAACTTTTAATTTACATTGTTAAAAAAACTCAATGGAGCTTTTCAACAATAAGTAAAAGTTCATTTATCATTAGGACTTTATTTTCAAGCAATATAGTAAATTCTACACACAAAATGCTCTCTTTTGAAGAAAAAAAAACATTATCGCTATCAAGAAAAAAGTCAATTTCAGAAATTTCTGATATTATTCATAGGTCTAAAAGTGTCATTCATCGTCTAATTAGCAGGTATAAAACCGATAAAATGTTAGATGCAAAACCAAAAACTGGCAGACCTCCAAAAACATCACAAAGAGAAGATTGAAGAATTGTTAGAATATCTACAAAAAGAACATTTTGAAACTGCTACATCAATTGCCTGTAAATTTAATGAAGAGACAGATAAGATCTCAAGGAAAATGGTTGCTCGCAGGTTAAAAATGCAGGATTGCATGCCCATATTCCAGCTTCAAAACCTTTCATTTCAAAGCGAAACCAAAGGGCACGCCTGGAGTATGCGAGAGAACATGTTGATTGGACTGACGCACGATGGGATACAGTTCATTTCAGTGAAGTCCAAGTTTACTATATTTGGTCCTGAGGGCAAAACTTACGTACGCCATAGAACAGGTGAAAGACTGTCTTCTCAATGTCTCAAGAAAACTGTTAAGTTTGGTGGCGACAGTGTGATGGTGTGGGGAAAGATTTCATCTGCAGGAGTTGGCCCCTATCATCCGCATACATGGTAATATCAATGCTGAGATTTACAAAAGGCTTCTTCAGCAGCATGTGGTACCAAGATTACATCATAATCTTTATGAATCTCCTATTTTCATGCAGGACAATGCACCTTGCCACAAGGCTCAGAAGATTATGGCTTTATTTGAAGAAGAATGAATCACCCTAATGAAGTGTCCACCCCAGAGCCCCAACCTGAATCCAATAGAAAATGTTTGGAAGATAATTGGAGAAAGGGCTCAGAAAAGAAACCCAAAAAACCAGGATCACCTATGGGAGTTATTGAAAGAGGAATGGGAGGGAATTACTGCTGATTTTTGCAAGAAATTAATTAGATCATGTGGTCAACGATGCAGAGAAGTCATTGAAAATAAGGGGATGTTTACCAAATGTTAAATTTTGTTGATATTTTGTTCACAATCAAGTATTAACAGGATCGTTCTTTAACTTTTGTCCAGCAGCTTATTTCGTTTGTTCCATTTAATCTTTATTTAAAAAAAAGTTATTATGTAAATTTTTGTAACTTTGTATAATATTTATGCATTACACCCTACTCTTTATTCGATAGAAATTTCATTGCTAATCATGCATTACTTTTTAAGTAATACACATATTTATGTCTTTGTTGTTTCCATTCCTTATGGCCGCTACTATATATATATATATATATATATATATATATATATATATATATATTTTACTCTAAGCAAGTTAAAGCTACTATATCAGAAAGTGAAAGAATTTGAGAAAAAAAAAAAACAACAAATAAACATTAAGGAGAGAGGCTAATAAAAGATGAATTAAGAAGACGGAAGATGACAACTGACATTACATTTAATTTTTTGAAGGTCAAAGTTGACTGGAAAGCAAGAAGCTGAAAGAGTGTTTTTTGTTTTTAAATGTCCATTTTAAATAAATTATTCCATACAGTATAAGGTTTTTTTTAGTGGAATGTATGAATTATAAAAAGGGGAAAATAAATTTAGCCCAAATTAAAGTGGCAAAAATCAAAGAAAGTGGCAGCCTTAAATCATGACTGGAGGGTTGAGGTGAGGAGTGTGACTGGAGTAGTGTTGAGGAAATATATCAGTCAGTAATAGTGATCATAAATTAAATTAAAAATTCACAAATGGAGGGATACATAATAAACACACTAATTAGGTTTATGTATGCACACTGGCCCACACACAATGTTCCTGATTTTAAAAAATGAAGACACCTCCATCCACAGCCTTAGCCTCAGTGAGTGAAATATACATTTTTACTTTCTGATCCTACAAAAACTATTCCTATCTCTACTGTCAGTGACTTGATAACCAGGCTATAAAAAACAATAAAAAATGAAAATGGGGCAATAAATAGGCAAACATATCAAAGACTTTGTCCTCACTCTTTTTTTTTTTCTTGCATGTCTGGAACATTTTTTTAAATAAAGGTTTATTTTATTTTTTATTTTTTTTTTAAATTATTACAATTAATATTAAAATATCAAAATGTGATGATTTTGTTTTTTAATTTCATGCACAGAGATTTTAAAAAATTATATATTTTAGTTAAATGCTAAAATGATTCATTTACTTTAAGTTATACCAATAGTATATTTTGTTAAAGATTGTAATGAGCCCAACAAATACTGATGACCTAGAGTCGCCACTGATATATATATATATATATATATATATATATATATATATATTAGTGGGTGGGTTATCCCCACATATCTTCACTAGTTATGACAAGAGGTTATTAGAGTGCTGTTACACACTTATGAGACACTTCCTGTTTTTAATCTCTTGTTTCTCTTTTCCTTCTAAAATATAGTAGAAATGACAACACCAACCAGGAACTCCTTGGGCATGTAGATATCCTTCTCCTTAGTAACTTTTTTCGCATACCTACGTAATGTTTTCTTTCTTTTGAATGTATACTGTATTTTCTCTTTTTACTCAGTTATATGAAAAAAAAAAAAACTATTGCCTTGTTGAAATTGTCTTCCATTTTCTTACATCCAACATTAGCATGTGCAAAATATTGTTTCCCCTGTTTTTAGTATATTAGTGCTGCAACAGTTTGGTGACCATGATATAATTTCAACATATACCTGTCGCAACAAATATATATATATATATATATATATATATGTTACATTCATGCACATTAAAGAATCGAGGAAAATAGCAGTTTCTACTTCATTCTCAAAGAACCTGCTACATAAACTGGTACAAATTTCATGTATCAATTATTGATCATAAATGAATGAATTATTAGCCTTAGTAAATGCAAGGCATTTTCAATGACTATACTGCATGTCTTTGATATTCTGTTTGATTTTTTTATGTTAAAAATAATGCAGAAATTGTTCAGTTATAACAAATTCTTTTTAGATTTTAGTAATTAATATCAGTATATTCCTATGCAATATGAAAGATCCATATCCTATTAATAAGGATTGGATATATGTACTCATGTAAAAAGTTTCAAGATAAATTTATGCTGCCATAGGCTTTAGTATGTAATGTATTAAAAATTACTTGTTGAATGTGGGAAAATATATGTGGAAAATAAATAAAAATAATAATGACAATTATCCTTCTGTTTTAGTGCATTTTCAAATTATACTGAAAAGAATTATATATGTATATTTAATATTAATTTTGAAAAGATAATTTACTAGAAAACTTGGTTGACAAATTAAAATTTTGATCTAAAATATGTTATTGATGAACTTAATTGCTTTATAGTTGATAACTTTATATTTTCCCCAAATGATACTCCAAGCTGAAATCAGTTATGCTTTCTGACTGAGAAACATACATAATTAATGGGAAAGGAAATGTGAGAAAGGGGGAGAAGAAGGGCAGGCATAGGCAGAAAAGTAGAAGGTAAGAAATATATTAAAAATAGGTGAAGGAAAATATATCAAATATTATGGCATATGATACAAAATGAATACTTAATTTTGTCATTTTTCTTGTTTTAATACAAGTGGATCTTTGCAAAAATTGCTTAAAGTGATGCCCACAACTAAATTTCCAATTGTGATCAGTTGATGTTTTGATTTAATGATGGTAGCATTTTTGACTATACTTTGGTAATCTTCAAATACAAAACATGAATGTTATTTGCCAGAATATGAAATGATGATTTCAGTTTGAGTTCTTCATATCTATGAAAGTGTTAGAACTGATAAAAATTTCAAATTTCTGTATAGATTTGAACCAACAATTCACCCCCTTGTACAAAAAGAGACTAAATCTAAAATTAAAGTATTTTAAATGAAAAACTGATATCTGTATGTATGTATATAATATATATATATATATATATATATATATATATATATGAAATTGTGAAGTGCCATGATTGTCAACATCCTGAAGGGACACAGCACACAGATGTTCCTCCCCCCCTCCATAAAATGAAAGCATAGTTGGGCAACAAAGATTGGGAGGGATAAGGAAGAGGATGCGAAGATACATGTGGAATTTCCATAATCCAGTAAGTATTTGAAATTTAATTATATTAAGTTATATATAGTGCTTATGGATGAACTGTTTCTGAAGATTCTGTGTACCGATTGGCTGTTGTCATGAAAGAAATAATTTCTGTACAATATACTGAGTCGATATAATTTCTTATAGTGATTTACTAAGTATAGCTTAAGTGTGGCACAAAGTCATAATAATAATTTACAATTTCTTAAAAGAATTATTATTCTTTTTCAATCTGGTGGCAGGTACATTTAGATGTTTAAGAATCAGCTTTTTATCCTTAATGAAGATAGAACAATAGAAATCCAATCAAATTAGTAATATTAGCTTGTGAATATATGTAGCTATACTAAATTTAATAAGACTATCTTTTATGTGCAAAGTCCCTTCAGGACATTGGTGATCATGGCTCTCCACAATTTCCTGTCCTTTATAGCTCTTAATAAATTTTATCTTTTTATTATCTCTCCTAAACCTTATTCCACAATCCATTTACTCAAGCTCACTAGGTAGGTTATGTATTGTTTTCCACTCTCTCTGTCCCATGAGTATCAAATTTTCCAATCTCCCTTTTCTCATGTGCCCTAGAAATTTCAACTGTCTCTTCTTGAAGTTTAAAAATCCTTTTTATTTCCATTTTCTCTAAAACTTTATTGCTCACATGTTTGGTCCATGGTATTCTCAGCATCTGTCTATAGAACCACATTTCTGTTGATTTAAGTCTCTTCTGGGAGGAGATTGTCCAGCATTCCCTGGTATATAGGAGGACAAATATTATGTAACAGTTCAGTATTCTTTCTTTCTTTCTTTTTTTTTTTTTTGTTTCCAATGAAATTTCATTGTTTCATAATACTTTGCTTAGCTTTTGGAAGGCATCTTTTGCTATTCCATGTGTCTTTGGATTGCAATGTCACACTTTCAAACTTCTGTTTATATATTTCCCAGATATTTAAATTGTTGTACTTGTTTGACTTAAGGGATTCTATAATCATATAAAATCAATAAGGTGATTATATAATAATAAAAAAATAAAGCTTACCTCTAACAATAAGCAATGCTACTTCTGTGGTGTTGTCCCAACTGCTTAGACTACGAGCCTTCCAGATATCACCAAAATAACCAGTTGTTAGTTTACGGTCAGTGATGCCCACAACTAAATTTCCAATTGTGATCAGTTGATGTTTTGATTGAGGGCTGATCAATTCTTGCTGTAAAAGAAAGTAGAATGTGATAATTAGCTTGTGCATTTGGAAATTATTCTAAGAAACTAGAGAATTTTAACGTAAATTGAATTCATGAACATGACTGGATTAAAGTAAAGGTCACAAATATGTGCCTATACAGAAGGGGATTTAAAAAAAAAATTGAAATCTTATAGAGTCATCATTATTAGTTAGAATAATTTTATTTTCCATAACTGCTCTATATTTTCTATAATTGTATTGGTTGGTGTTTTTCTTACAACATGGCATTTTGCAAAAATACTTTATATTTTAAGGTCTAAGATAGATAAGAGGAGGCACAGTGGAGTAATGGATAGTGGCTTGGATTGAGGAATCTGAGCGCCATGTTCAAAATCCAGTCATATCCATTACATTCACTTAGGTGTTAATACCCTTGAGAAAGGTATGAATCCTCTTTTTCTCCCCCCAGCCATGGATAAATAGCTGGGCAGACCAGGTTCTATAGCCTTGGATGACAACTGGTCTACCACAGAAAGAAATGGCAACCTACTACGGGAAAAAATCTGCCTTGTCAGTCATGTATTGAAAGATACATGATCGCCTAAGCATGTATCACGCATGGCACATAACTGACTGAAGATAGATAAACACAGGAATCAACATTGCATGGTGACTGTTTCATGTTTCAATGTGACCTTCAAACCAAGTCTGTTATATATAAAAATGTCTATTAAGAAAAAGCCATAATAGGCAACAGGTCCAAAATAAAATATTTTATAATCATTTATAAATAATAGGTTTTATTTTAAATCTGTTCTCAAAAAAAATAAAATAAAAATAATAATATTCTTGCCTATTTCTAAAATGATTTTGATGGGGAGGGGAAAATCCATTAAAATCTGAGGAAAAACAAAAATTCCTTTAAACTGTCTATAGAGATTTAATCCAAACCTGTTCATGAAACATTTATAGAAATATTGTGAAGGTGAATGAAATATGAAATGAGTGTTAGTTAAAGTAGAGCTGAATACTTAAAAGATGATTGATTTACAAATTTCATTAAGACAAAGACATGTTTCCTTAAGTGAAAATTAATTAAATGAACTGAGGTACAGTAATGTAGCATAGAATCAGATTTCTTTCAGTATATCTGACTTATTATACAAACTGACCCCTTGACCTGTGCATGAGTGGCGTGTGACCCTGACTGGACAGGCGGGATAAACATGTGGGTAGTCTGTCTGGAAATATATAAAGTAAAGAGACTAAATCAGTCAGTCAGTCAGCCAGGGTAATAATCACAAAGAAATGTCAGCCAACATGTCACCAGGGCACTTCCAAGACTGTTCCCAGTGAAATGTATATTAAAAAGAGACGAGTAGAATGGAGGGAATTATATCACCAAAAATTGAATTCCAAAGAAATCATGGCAACTGAATTGAAATGAAACTAAAGTAACAAAGAGCCAAACAAATGACTATAGGCTTATTTAAATGATTGTGAAATATTATACAATGCAGAGAGATAATGAACTATTATTATAAAATGTAGAGAACTGTATAAAAAGTGTATGATTATGAATTGGTTCTTGCCAGATAAGATACAAATATGGGATGATGAAAATCTCAAGGAAGTATATGGGGGGGGATGAAGTGCCCTGGATTTAATTAAAAACTGACTACATTTAGAAAAGAAGAAAAACAAAAGGTAGAGAGAGAGAGAGAGAGAGAGACAGTTGCACTACAGACTTTCTAACATTGGAAAGGAAAAGGACATCTACTGGAAAAAAAAAAAAATGAAAAAACTCTAAATTGTGGTGGGGTGGGGTGAGAAGAAAATTGAGAAAAATATCAACATCTATATAATCTACAAGAGAATAATCAGTAAAGAGACCAACAAGACTAAAAGAAAAAAAAATCTAACATTGAATGACACTCAAGCGCTAAGCAAAAGGGAGAGGGGGGAAACAAAAAAAATGCACAGCAGAAATTTGCAGTACAAAAGCTAAAAGCTGTCCATTTATACAAAAATAAGACACCATTCTACAGTCAAACAGTTATTTCTCCCCAAGAAATAAAAGTTAATTTTAATATGCCTATGTAATACAAAATGCCTAAATAATAATAAATTTCTCTTGAATGTGTGAATCCTTTCACCATTAACCTTTTATATTAAATTAACATTATTGTGATTTTTTTTTTTTTAATACAAGGTGATTGCTTATTAAGTGAGAGCTTCTGATAGATATATATATATATATATATATATATATATATATATTCTGTGTATTTAGGCAGTAAATGATCTTTAAGGGAAATACAGTGTGTGGCAGAAATGCCTCGTACATATACCTTTTACATAATGGCAAGACATTGGCTGGTTGAAGACACTATTGCCACATTGTGACAGTTTAAAATATAGAGATAGCTGATGTCTTATCATTATGTGGGAGGTATTTCTGCCACACCTTATATTATTAAAGACAACAGACATTTTGTGTATGTTAATTTTACTGATTGACTTTTCCAAATTACAAATAATCTTTCTCAGACAAGGAGGAAATTCTGTCAGAATTTGTTTGAAGTACATTTCAGAAGTTTTTGACTTAAGTCATCATCAGGGTAGGTTGAGACAAATAGTGAGTTTCATAGAACTAGTGAGTGTTGTGATGTAGGTAAGGTGTGACATATCTGTGTTTTTTTTTTTATTATATACATTTGAGGATTTAGGCTTTTAAATTTTATTTATATATATATATATATATATATATATATATATATTTTTTTTTTTTTTTTTTTTTTAATCATTTAAGGCTTTCACTTACTAACATACAAAAATTTAACTCTTTTTTATTTTTTTTATTTATTTAATAAAAAAAAATACTGATAAAACAAGAAAAAAAGAAGCAAATTTGCAAGGTTCCAAATGCTATTGATTATGCATGGAGTTAGTGATCTATATTAAAATCTCTGTAGAAAGTGGCTGTAAGAAAACTGGATTACTGAAAATCCTGTCTCAGACAGTCTATTTTATAAATAACTAATTCTGTCATTTTAATGGCTACTGGCAGATAAAAAATACAGATACATAAAAAGTTAAAATTTTAAATCATTATAAAATGAAGTCACAATTTAAAGTGCAAATTATGTAGAACTTCTAATATATATTTTGATCGATTCACTGTACGAGTGTTAATAGTACCAGATGTGACTTGCTGCATGGTTGGCTCATTAGCAACTGAACTTGTTTTCCCATCAGGCTTTTTGGTTTGTTAAGGAGTGTGGTTAGACACTTAGCAGGATTGAAAAGGCTTTTTAAAGAATAGATGAACTCCCTTTTATAGGGGCCAATAGCCATCTAGTACAAGAGAGTAAACTGGGCTTCATAGCTATATATGCAACAAATATGGTGATGACAAGGCATTGATGTACAGAGGGCTTCCTAGACTGAAGCCAATTGCCAGGGTGGAGGGTTCACCCAATGGAATCAATGGCCACATGTTCATGACCAACGTGAGCCTTCAGGTTGGAGAACATCAGCTGTGTTTTGCCAGGTTTACTTGCCCAAACATAAACTATACATGGATGAAAAACCTCTCATACTTTCAAGCTACATATATGGAGAGAACTGGTTAGCTGTGCAGTGACCTTTATGATCACATCAAATCATGGGACTGATGGTAATTTTTTTTTTTTTTTTTTTAATATCTATCATTCACTAAGCAACTTCTAATGAAAATGGTCTTTAGAAGAAATCTGAAATTATTTGAAATTGTTATAAAATGAAATGCTATAATTTCTGAAATAACTTCTTTAATACAGTTCGACCTCTTTCATCCAGTGGTCAGGTAACTCTCATAGTCCGGCATTTTTTGAACCAGCTGCCATTAGTTTGTTGAGCAGCTACAAGGATAGGGCCACATGTTGTTTACATTTTCTACAGCAGCCAACAACAGCAGTGTGTTTTGGAAGCATTAATTTTTGTAAAGTATGTACTCTGTTATTTCCTCTTTGAGCTCCAGATTGTTTTAGCCATTCTACAGTATATTAAGTATATAGTATTTTGAAGTTTTAGGGTTTATTTATTTATTTTTTTTTAGCCTTTGGTATTGCATGGAAACAATAAGAACCTTGTTTAGAAACCTTTAACTATTGTTTTATTTCTTGTTTTAAGCTTTGATCTACTTTTGTAGTAATATAGATGCAGGATGAATTGGTAAGACTGTTTACGTTGAGGCTTTTTAGGGGTGATTTCTGTGGTCTGATAGTGGCCTGGTGCCAAATTGAAGAGGTCAGACTGTACAATTTACATTACGTGAGTAATGTATATCTGTGTATGTGAGCTGTAAACAGCGAAACAGTCTGTCTGTGGATGACGTTATATATATATATATATATATATATATATATATATAAAATGTAGTAAAAAAAAATCAAGAGCCACTAAAAAAATGTCTAACATATAAGATCTATATGAATAATGAATAACAAATGGTGAGTTAATGACAAACAGGTGATATTAAATAGTTTGCTTGAACATGCACATGATTGTGTGGACTTAGCAAAAAAAAAAATGTTTACATGAGAATGAAAATTAAAAGAAAATAAAGGCACACAAGACAAACAAAAACTTAATTATTGTTGCTTGAAGTTTTCAGATGAATTATTACCATTGTTGCCTGAATTGGACAATCTTCTGTTTTGATCACTATGCTTTCACCAATGATTTCTCTTAAATTTCACAGATGTCACATCTAATCATCTTTGAATGTCAACAGAATTAAAAAAAACAAAACAAAAAACATTTCTGTTGACTTTTTTCTAAAGATAATTTTGGAGTACCAAACAAATTTTAAACACTTCGATCTGGGAATTGTTCAAATTGGCATGGTGATTATTAGTAGCATAAAGTTGGGGTGGGGAATCATGAATGATACTCCATTTAACAGATGCTACACACTTATGGCAAGAGAACATTTTAGCTGAAACACAGTTCTCAAAACAACAAGGATTAGGATATTAGTCCAATTCATTTTAATTACTCTTGATCGTTGTAATGTGAATTACTATTTTTTATTTAAGCAAGGTAGGTGGCAGGTGAAAACTGACAATAATGAAAAGCTTTGTACATCAGAAAAATAACAAAAAGTGGAAAAGAGCAACTATTTCCATTTTTTTTTTTTTTTTTTTTTTTTTTTTTAAACTCTAAAATTATTTTCCAGCAATAAATAATAACATCAATCAAACTAAACCTAAACAAACAAAATATACTTACCCTATCATCTGTACTTTCTGGTATCTCTTCTTCACGTGTGATAACTTTTTTGTCTTTTTTCTTCTTGCTTACAAGTAGCATGACTGCCATTAGAATAATACAAGTAAATGCAAATAACCCAGTAAATACACCCAGGGCAATGGCCAAGTTCTTCATTAGATTTCGATATGTGTCTGCTAGAACCCCTGAAAAATAAAATGGTAATTAAAAATAAACAGTTTTAATAAACCAAATTTTTAATACAGGATGTCCACACAGTCATTAGACAAATAGGAAAATTTATTAAAATTACAAAGGAAACTGGATACTGTTAAAATGTTTACATAGTATGAAGTTTATATAAAAACAGTTAATAAATTTCTATATGGATGTTATAGAGAAGCGTATGGTTGCAAGAAAGAAATACGACAACAGTAGAAATAGATTTACGTGGTTTATTTCAACAGGAACGTAAGGGTTTGGGACAGCTACCTCGATCTCTCATAGTAGTTCACACATGTTGATGGTGGTTGACGCTCTCCTGTTGACAGCTGCTGAACGTGACCGGTCTTCTTTGTGGCCACCTGTTGACTGCTGCTGAACTTCCCTGTGACCCCTTTTATAGCGTTTTTTTATGGCTTAACAGGCTCTGAGAAATAATTAGGTGGGAAGCATTTTTATTGGATGAAAAATAGAGCACTTTAATTATTATTTTATTTTTCGACCAGAACACATTTGTAAAGAAAGTTAATGGTCATTTTGTGATGGGGCCTTGTCCCGTTCACATCCCGCTCTTGAGCATTTGCCTGTAAATCAGCCGAGATATGTCATTTTATTTTATAACATGGACAAGATGGAGCACTGCCTCATTGGTGAATAAACATCCATGGATTTTTAAATGAAAGTTTTGCAAATTGCTGTATTGGAAGAGTTGTCCCGATTCCTTGGCCCCACCACATTCTCTGGATATACCACTCATGGACTTATTCTTGTGGGCTTATACAAAATATATCTTGTATTGCACTAAAGTAAAGGACTTGGATGACCTTAATCAAACTATAACTGCCACCATTAATACTATTGATGAAAGTATGATTCAAACATGGACAGAAATTGAATATCACTTAGATGTCCTTCATGCAATGAATGGGGGGGGCATATAAACATTTATTAACTATTTGTATATAAACTTCACTATTTACTTCATATTATGTAAACATTTCAACAGTATCCAGTTTCTATTGTAATTTTTATAAATTTTTCTATTTGTCTAATGACTTTGTGGACATCCTGTATAATAAAAATATGAGCAATAATGAAAATCAATTTTTTTTTTTATAAAATTGTAATAAAACTAAATAATGTAAAAATGGCTTTACAACTTATCCAGTTAAAAAACTATAACTTTGAGAGATGTCTTCAAAGATCCTTTTTATTATGATTTTAAGATTTGTTTTGTTTTACAATTTATTTAGATATTTTTTATTTTATATAAATTATTTCTTATTACTATTAATATTATTTTTAGTGGGTAAATATGTTTGAGTCACTATCCTTGTTTTTATTTTGTTAAAAAGTAAAATTAATAATAACTGTCTTTGATTGAAAATTCCTACTAAAGAAAAATTGTGTTTTCATAGGACTCCTTGATCGAGGCAAGTTGTTAATAATTTCACTCTTTAAGAAAATAAAATCAGGGATAGTGACTTAAACATGTTTACCCATAAAAAATAATGTTTATAGTGATAAGAAATAATGCTGGCTTAAAAATTTCATTCAAAAATAAATTGCTACCTGAAGTTTTGTGGAATTTAAGGCACAAAATGGCTTCCTCAAAGACAAATAATTGATACAAAATGAAATTGTTTATTTTCTGTTGAAATGACTTTTGAGAGACATATGAAATGCTGGGTCACTTGACAGAAACACAATTACACAGAAATTTAAAAACCTTTTGGGTCACACCTCATATTTATCATACAGACCAAGTTATTTTATTTGTTGTGGCATATTCACATGAATCGAATGTACATTTCAGCAAGAAAATATTATCTATAAAGAAAGATAAAAAAATATTTGCAATATTTTAAATGAAAAAGGTTTCCCTATCACTGTAGAAATCCTGGAAAATTCTAAACAAAATTTAATTTATATACTGATATTTTGTAAAACTTCTAAATCAAATAAGTGTCTTTTTTAAAAACTTTTTAAAGAAATTTTCCAATTTTATGTTTAAATGTTTATTCTTTAGAGCTTATATTTGTATATAGAAAGTCTAATTATGATTGTCAAATTTTGAGAATGGTCTTATATATTAGACTCCAGGCAGTGGCAATTCTGGAACTGAAAGGTGGGGGACTTGGGGGTCAAGGTTTTTCTGTGGAGGAGGGGGGGAATTCAAGCAGTGTCTTTATTTTCATACTAAGTCACTATCATACACAACTTAGGAATGACTGTTACTATAAGTATGTTACTTTGCTAAAGTAAATGGAATAACTTTTCATTCATACTAGTGAAGTTATAATCTATTCTTGCCCCTTTTTTCCACTCTCATGCTGTTGGACCACAAGAGAAGTTAACTTCAAAACAAGATCAAAGGGGTATATTAACGTCAATACAAGCAGAACAGTGTGATTTGTCTGCTCTGATTTTTTTCCTTTACAAAACTTAGAAAAGTTGAACAGGGGCAACTGAGGGGCCAGCCAAAACTCTGGAGGGGGGAATTGGCCCCTTCTCCCACCCGTAGAATTGCCACTGACTCCAGGGTAAAGAAAACCTTTTCATTGTTCAATTTTCATTGAGAGATACTTACTTCTCTGGCATATTGGTCCTGTGTAGCCATCTAAACATCCTTCTGGACAAGTTCCATTGTAAGGATCACAGGTTTTGTTATTAGAACAAAACCCACAATATTCAGAACAGTTGTAACCAAAAAACCCTGATTCACATTCTGGAAAAGAAGAAAAAACAGCAAATTAAACTTGAGGATAAAAAAAACTTAAGCATTTATCATCTGAGAAACATGAAGTAATTTCCCTATATACAAGCCACCAATCTGCCACTGGGTGGCATGACACTAGCATTTACCACAAATAAAATGTTCTTGGCAACTAGAAGAAATTTAGAAAACGCTATTATATTCATATTGTCAACTGAAAATTACATCAAGTACTATCATGTGTAGAAATATTGTTTTTATTGTTGTGTTGATGGATTCAACCATTTTCTTTTGATTTCTTGATACAGTTGTGTACATTGGCTTGAGAAGTAGTAATTCTGTTAGGAAAGGTGATGTTGGAAAATGCCTGAGCATTGATTAATATTTGGATAATATTCAATGGCAGCACTTTCGAGGATTTTCCTTCTGAGTGAGTTATTTTCTTTTTATGAGTGTAGCATTTTGACTGAATGTATGAGTAGTGCATTAGTTGTTTTTTGTGAGGTCACTTTTCCTATTGTCTTTTACCTTTATACATATTTTCTTTTTCTATAGGTTAACTCTAAGAAATTTTTCATTATATATATATATATATATATACACACACACACACTGATATTTTCCTATCTTGTCTAAGGATATGGTATGAATTTTATCTTAAAATTTAAAATAAATCTGTACAAAATAGATTTCTGGAAGATTATAGTAATATGCAATTTATAATTATCAAAATGATGGTAATATTAGCTGTTTCCTTATAAGGAAATATTTGACATTCATTGACTGCATAGCCAGTGCTGTTATCGGTTGAAATTTATAAAATCTTTCTCTTAAAACAATTTCTCAGGAAAATAGGTTTTGCTCTTTCCAGTATTGATGGGGGATTACTTTCTAATCTTTTATTGGAAGTAGTGCTGAAAATGAAAATATTGACTATGTCATTATTTTCTCTGAGTTATAGGTGATATCTATTTTAGTTGTTGCTGCTGTTAAAAGTCCTCAAGTGATGTAGTTTGTTAAATAAAGTACATCGTTATAAACTACTGTCAAGATTGTAACACTGAGATGATCTATTATTACAAGAATTGGTTCAGATTACTGAACAACACCTTATATGAACCTATAATATTATTTTTAATCATTTCATCCCAGGCACAGTAATAATGCCACTAAGACACAACAGGTTACTGTAAGTGTAAGAGAATGAAGATTCTATTGAGGGAAAAGGACAATAAAATAATAGGATTCAAGAAGACAGAAGATGGCAACTGGCATTACATAAAATGAATAAAGAATTTGACTAAAGATAAAGAATATGATAAAGATTTAATTTCAAATGTATATCAGAAAATGGTGAACTAATCAATTTTTTCCTTCATAAAGTGGGTGACAAGAGGCAGAAACATGTATTTCTGGTTTAAAAAAGTTAAAAGGTGCTTATAAGCAATAAACAAAATGTATTTATTAAATCTACTACCATAAAACTGATGAAAAATAATTTGTAATATAATAGCCATAAAACCATGTGACTATTCTAATAAGATGACTAAAATTAGAAGAATAAATTCAGTCCATTAAATAACAATAAAAAGTGTCTCATATTTCCAGTCATCTAATGGCCTGCATTTGTTTTGGTTTCAAGCTTTTTAGACCCTGCCCCCCACATTAAATGAAAAGATACAACACAGACTTATTGGATAAAGCCCATATTGTACCTGATTCCTAAGGAGGATATGATTTCAGGTTCCTTTGACAAAAGGTTGAGAGGGAAATAAACTCGTAAATAGTTGCAATTAATCAAGTCAAATAAGATAATCATGGCAGTTGAAGATAAAGACAGTTCAGTCGAAGGTCACATACAATTTGACCCTTATTAGATCAGTTAGGAGATTCACATTTTTTTTGGTGGATCCTATACTTTGTAAAATGTTTTAGGGCTGAGAATATATAATTTTTTTTTCTTTTAATCATTTCACCAAGACAGTAAAAGCCACCGAGAGACGAGGGTTTACTGAGGGTAAAAAAAAAAAAAATAGAGAGAAAAATTAAGGAGTGAATAATAAAAGAGGAATCAAGAAGACTACCTAATGGAGTTTGTATGATTGGTAGAACAGGGATTAGGAGAGATAGCAAAAAGACAAATGTTACTAAGAGCTACAAAGTACAGGAAGTTGTGGAGAGCGATGATCACCCACACCCTGCAAGAATATGGCACATAGAATTTGTGAAATAGGAAAAGAGAATTGAGGTTTTAACCACTTAGTATTTCTGTTTTTTAAAGATTATTTTTTTTTATTCAATAAATTTAGACATTTTATAATCTTGTGATTTATGAGGATTCAAGGAATAACATAAACAAACTAGGCATCTGTGAACCTACTCAGGTGGTTAGCTAATCCCTCTTGCAGATTCTTGTTCAGGCACATGTTTCTTCAATACTGGCACAGCCAACTTGTGGTTTATACTGCCACTATGTTATGCTGAACAGACCTTTGTTACATTTTTTGAGAGAAAGCACACAGTATGTGTGATCAGAAGTTTAACAAGGCCAGCACATTTGAACCCTCAGTCACAATGACTTGAGATGTTGTGCTAGAACAACTGATGACAGTCTCTAAACAGTTTTGTCTATCCAATTTCACTCTCAGGGCCTGTCAATTCATGGTATGGTTTTCAGACACTTCTCAACAGTTCCACATGCTGGGATTGTCTTCCCCACCCCAGGTTACCTCTTTGACAAATCAACCCTGGTGAGATTCAAATCCAGTTCTCATGGTCTAAAAGCTAAAACTCTAATCACTTGGACTATGTGCCCATTATATGGAAACTAAGAAGATGATGAATCTTACATTGGTGACTTTTTATCATTTAATTAAAGATAATGATGAAACCAATCTGTCAGCTGTTAATTAATATTTGATTGAAAACAAGAATTGTAGTCACATAACTAAACAAAATACTGTACTGACAACTGTGTTTAAACATATCACCTTTAATTGTAATTATGTAAAATGCTGTCATTGGTCAGCTCAGAAAGGCATAAAACACAGGGAATGTTTGGATAAAAAAAATCCTGACTTTTCATTTTCACTTAAAATTAGCAATTAAACTACCAGAGAATATTATTTGGCCTTTATCTTTTTCTGTTTTGTACCTTAATTAGACACCTCTTCCACTGCCCTTCTACTCCCACCTCTACCTGATTGAACTTGACATAAGTCCTCCTTGAATTTTACCAATTAAATGGTAGTTTGTACAAACATCTCTTCATTAAAGAATCATTTTATTACTTTTGACAAGCTGGTATTTAGCTTTGCAATTATGTCAGGCTTAAGTGAATGCAGTCATGACATTGTGAATGATTTTCGAAGAATGTCAAGTGAACTGGTGTTAGCATTTTTTTTTTTTTTTTTTTCATACTGGTGTCAGGCTTAATGAATACAAACTCACAAGTGGCTAGGATTAAATAAACATGTTTGGGAGATGTGGAAAGGAGATAACAAAAACAGCACTGAATGGATATCATACCAAAACTGGAAACAGTGAACACTTTATTTACCACATTTCAAAATTTTTCTTACTATGAGATCTGTTTTATTTTAATACTTAGCAGTTGTCAACAAATTTCGGCATAAACTAATTTAGGAAATGGAGAGCAAGGTCTGCACAAAACTGCTTTCAGAGAAAAAAAATCTCTGAAGTTATTTACCATAAATTGGTTAATCTCACTGTTTTAACACTTGAAGCCAATGTTTGGAAAAATACAGGCAAAAATATACTGAAACAATATTAAGCTGTTTAGTTATTATTCTAAAATATTTTATTCTGACACTTTGGTTTAAGCTGAAAGTTAACAATTATTTTTTTTGTTTGAAATTCAAAAATGTACAGAGTGAAAGTAAGCAATATTTTTATAAACAATTTTTATGTAATGTGTTAATGTAACAGTTATAGAATAATAATGATATAGAATATTCTGAAGATGAATAAATATGGAAATATTATTAATACTTATTAAAAAGCATAACTTAAAAACTGTTATTTGATAAGTTTAGTAAATAACATATATGCCTTTGTGTCTTTCATATGAATATTAATAAATCTGGTGCTAAATAAAAGGATGCCAATAAAATCATATGGTGTGTTTTTGTTATTCAGTTGAATTAAATTTCTATTTTCACCACAAATATATAGAATCTATTAATCTAAAAAAATCAAAGCATTAACAGAAATTGTTTTCCTCTTATCATATACTAGTTGAAGTACCTTTTTACAATGATAGGTCAAGACTAAGCTCAAAGCTAATTCTAGTGATGATAGAATGATTTTGTTGCCACTCCTGAAAACTAGACTGACATACACCAAAGTGTAATAAATTAAATGTATAACTAAGAAATATCTCTTTTACAATCTCTGTTGTCATCATTCATGGTCTGTTTTCATTGATTCTGACTAAAAAATATTACTAAAATGTTTGTATAACTTTAATGCAATATTACAGAAGAGAAATTCTAAAACCACCAAATTTAAAGCCAAATCATATCTTGGATTATTAGAATAATTCTTTTTTGCAAGTGAATATTGCATTAACAAATTTTTTTTTTTTTTTAGAATAACAATGATTTCCCCATATATAATTGGTACTGTGTAACCCATAGCTGGAAGAGGAAATGGATTAATACCTTTCTGAATGGTAAATGAATCTAACACTGACTGAAATTCAAATCTATTTCTCATTCTGTACCACTATCTTTACATCACTCATGCATCCTAAATTTTTGGTTGCTTTTCACCAGATTGTTTTTTCATCACAACTGTTCAAGTTGTGAATGTATTCAACCTATAATATTTTGATATAAATATAAAAAACAAGATGAAATGTAGGCAACAAAAATTAATGAAAAATGCTTAATTTCAAAATTCAAGTAACTTAAAAAAACTATTGTTCACATTATTTTCCTTAGTTTAATGCTGCATCCCTTCAGAATGTAGGAGATAATGGCTCTCCACAG